GGACCCTGATGGACCTGAAAGACCAGGATCAATCCAGCTCAGATGTTGAGGGCTCTGAAGCCTCGTTGTGTCTTCTCTGGAGCAGCTGTGGCTTCCCTGGGGCTGCTTGGTGACATGGATTAGCTCTACATGGGCTGCAGCATTTGGGATCCAGGCTACCTAGAGGGGCATCAGGCCAGGGGAAAACCTCGGATTAGCAAGCAATAAAAACATGACCTCACTCTTCCTCAAAGGAGCCACTGGTCTTCCCTGCGTGACTCAGTTCTTTCCATCTGTTTGTCCCGCTGCAAGCCTGTTTCTGCACTGACTGTGACATCAGAACATGGCCTTCCTGTCACCCCTCTGTGCCACGCACTGACAGCCCCCCCTCCACCTGGGAAACTAAGAACTGGATATTTTGCCTCATTCACTTGTACTGTAACAATGTATATAATTTGGTTGGTATTTCACTATTTAATTTTTAAGAAGCCTATTTTACTAGTGTTTTATATGAACAAAGTACTGCAGAAGTTAAACCTGTGTTGTATTTTTTCTGAGATGTTTTGCTTTAAGAGATACTTTTTGCTCAGTTTTTATATGCCAGATACAGAGAATTTGTAGCGGTTATTTTTGTATGATCTAGTAACTTGCAAACAGACCAAATGGGTGAGAGGCGGGACCGTGCAGCTGTCGAGCTGATGAGGAGGAGGTGGCCGCCCCAGTGCTGATGGAGATACCACTTTTGTGTGACTGCGAACATTAAAGCACAAAAAAATCCAACCTGGAGTTGTGTGATTTTCATACCAAAGTGAGTTAACTTTTCCTCCAAAAGGAAGTATTTATTTTTCCAAGATTTATAACTAAAGCATACACTTAGATGACTTGTTAACATTCACTTGATACAATGTATAAACAAAATAGTAACAGATTCTGAGTGGTTATTTTGTGGACTGTGACAAGCACTTAAAATACAAAATGTTAGGAGGGCAAAACGGTGTGGGCCCTGGTAGGTCAGGCAGGCACCAGCGAGCTCCTTCCTGCTGAAAGCTGGGGCTGCAAGATGAGACCGCTGGCGGGGCCACAGAGTGAAGTCCAGTGTTCCATGTGTGGACAGGGAGACAAGCTCTGTCGTGGCCAGCCAGCGCACCCCAATGTCTTCAGCTTGACGCTGCTTCTCTGCCCGTGGAGTCTCCTCCACATGGGAACATCCCTGGCCGTCTGTCCCTGGAGTCCTCACTATGACGCAGATCACAAGGCACCCACTAAAGAGGCAAAGCCAGGAATCCCGTGGTGTGATCGCCCCGTGTGGCACCTGGTGCTGGTCTGCACCAAACCCGCTGTTGCTTCTGGGGCAGAAGAGCCCAGGGAAGCTGCTGGTCTATGGCCTGCCCAAGCTGCACTCCCAGGGTAGAGCAGCTGCCTTGGGGACCCTGTGGGTCCCTTTTCTATAGAGCCGGGACAAATCCACAGCCCTGCTGTAACAGCCTGCCACAAAGAGCAGGCACCTGGAGGGCCCCACACGCCTAGACCGTAGGACTGAACCTGCCTGGCATTCCTCCACTCACACCCCAAATACTCAGCCCTGCAGCCAGGGAAGGGTGGGGTCTCCCTTTGCTGCCCAAGTGTGCCCCCTTGCCCGTCCGATCTCTCCTGTGAGGTCAGCCTCAGTCAGGGCTTTGTGCCAGGTCCTGTCCTGGAGTCTCGATCTGGGACAGCAGTGTGGCTCTTAGGTACTCCAGAAGCAGGAGGGGAAAGGGGGACAAACACTAACACAGGGTGTCACGGGATGGCCAGAAGGAGTCCTACTCTCCACCCAGGCTCACCGTTGTAAACCTCCATCTGAAACTGCATCTTGGGTGACCTGAGATTGTGCTGGGAAAGACTGGTTAATAAATCTGCCTTCTCTCGATTACTGTAACATTTTGCTGCACTTTCAGGAGAAAGCGAGAGCCCACAGAGTAAGCCCACTGGGCAGGCAAGCAGCAGCCCCCACCCCGGGCCTGCCCTTCTGGACGAGAGGCTGACTGGTTGAAGTCAGGAGCCATGCAGCCCTTATGGACTCACAGGGACTTCCAGGCTTCCTTGTGGGGAGGCCCCGTTCACGCTCTGCTGGCAGGTGGGATGACCACGTCAAATTCACGAGTGTTGGGGCAAGGGCGGTGTGGCCTCCAGTCCTGGTCAGCGCTGTACTTACCCCCTCCTGGCCCTAGAGGTCCTGTCTGTAACCTGGGGGCTTCATGTAATGCATACTCCACCATGTCATGTAGAAGGTGCAGACTGAACACAAATCTGAAAAGGAAAACGGAGCTGGCATGAGGCTGGCCTGCGCACCGACGCTCAGGCACCTGCTGCTGTAGAGGCGAGACATGGCACAGTGCGTGCTCGGGACAAGATCTGAATGGGTCAGAAGCCGCCACTAATGTTGAGCCTGGAAGCCTCAGCAGCGGCTCTGTGCCTGGAACACCCAGGGCCCGAGAGCACCTGTTGCCGCAGAGACATTTTCTCTATGGCTGGCAGCTGGGGTGGGGACTCAGTGAAGGCTGAGAGTGGGAGTGATCTGAACTACCCTGCCTGCCCCACCCAGGGCGACCCAGGGGTGACTGGGAAAGGCAGTTGGGCTCTACTGCTCCCCAAATAGCAGCGAATAAATACTGAGCAGCAGGGCACTGGCCGCCAGGCTCCCTGCTTGGCTGGTTGATTGAGGACAGGGCATGCTTGGGCCAAATCACGTGGCTGCCACTGGTCTTACCTGGAGAAGATATGAAGGCTGAGATCCAAGCCCCGAGCCACACAAAATTCTGCTGGGCTCCTTAGCTGTGAGCAACGCCTGCTGCAGGCACATCACCTACTGCATGTACAGAGACCACTGCCCTTCGTGGGTGCCTGAGAGCTGTGTGTGTGTGTGTGTGTGTGTGTGTGTGTATGTGTATGTGTGTGTGTGACAGAAAGGGAGGGAGGGAGGGAGCGGGGGGGAGGGAGGGAGAGAGAGAGAGAGAAAGTGACAGAGAAAGAGAGCCCCTTTCCCCAGCCTCAACAGCAAACCCTTCTGGAATGCCGAGCCATACAGGACGTCACTGAACTGCAGAGGACGCTCTGAAGAAGCAATGCTGTTGCACAGTCCCTTGCAGCAGCTCCTGCACTTCTTGGATTAGTATGTCCCCGAAATGAGCTCTGCGCGCATGCACACACACACACACACACGACACAAAAGCAACTAAAGAAGAAATTTGGTGTGGTGATATTTGTAAAGAAGCAATTCAGTGTGGTGGTATTTGTAAAACACAAGTTGGGCAATGTCTCTTAATACTCTTTTTAGGGAAGTGGTTCTATATCCTGCCAACAGTAGGCAGCAGCAGGAATGCTGCCCCCTTGGAACAATGTTGTCAGCACCCAGTATGCTTGTCTTTCTGTTTTCTGGGGGCAGTGGAGGAAGCAGCCTGCCCACCCAAGTCTCAGATCATCCAAACCCTATACAACCACCCAGCACCCATCAACGTCCCCATCAGAGCCTCCCCGCCCCCACCCCACCATCTATTCTGATGCTGTAAGCAGATCCCAGCTGTAAATCATCTAACAAGAAGGTCAGGCAGCTCACTCAGTCTCCCTGGGAAACCGGCCCTGGCCACTGCAGTAAGTTGATTTGCAGAAATGTCCAGAGCCCCAAAACTTCGGGGAATCACTACTGTCGTTTTAAGAAAGGGAGATGTATGTCCACAGGTTCCAACCACTAACACCAGTTAGCACCTGCTAACAACGGTCAACAGGTCAGCAAAGATTAGGGCCCAGCGCCCAGAGAGTCCTTAACCTGTACTTGTGACCAGGATTGGAACACTTCCGTTCACGGCTGTCCCTGGCACATAGTACAAGGAATGTCACCAGTTCCCAGGTCCAGGCAGCCTGAGGCCTGCCAGTGGGCCTGCAGGGCTAGGAGATGGCAGTGTCCCCTGGGGGCTGGGCTGGGGCCCGCTCCACCTGTCCACCACCATCATTCCAGGGACAACTCTGCCAGAAGCTATCCTCATGGCCAAGTCCAAAATCCAGATTTAGTTTTACCTAAATTTTTTGAAACGAAGGGGTATAGTAGTTACAGAAGAAGTTTATCTGGGGTGGTCACTCCTGATTTGTATTCCAAGAGGTCACCAACTTTGCCATGCATCACCAGCAGATGTCAAAGGTGGATGGGCAAGGGACCCGCGGTGCTGGGAAACGGCAGCTGAAAGTGACTGTGTGCTGCCCCAGATCTGCCAGTACTTAGAGAGACGGCCCTGAGGAGGCACTGAACTGGCAGCAGCTGTGTTGAACCGTCCCCAGGGTGACCCTCCTGGTGGCCCAGGCTTCGTGTGGTCCTCTTCCCCTAAGTGCCTTCTTACAACTGAGAGAAGATGGCGAGAGAAGATGACAGCTTGCCCATGTCATCTTGGTTATATAAGACTCGGCACCCTAGAGAGAAAGACTCCCCTGGTGGCTTCGAAAAGAAAACGGACATGCTTTGCACTGCCTGTGGAGGGACAGGGGTCCGCCAGCAGCTTCCAGGAGCTGAGTAAGGCCCCCGGCCCGCAGCAAAAGGACAGGGACCCCCACAAACCCAGCTTAGGGAGAGAGGCCCCTGTGGACCTGTGGCCCCTCCAGGGGTTATCCTCCAGGGGCCATTCTTCTGATGGGGACATCCTCTGGGGGGATTTCTCTTGGGGGACAGAAATATTCTTGGAAGGGGGGATTATCTGCGGGGCAGGCATCCTCTGGGGAGAGAATCCTACTGGGAGAACATCATCCGGAAGACATCCTTCCGAGGTACCCGGCTCATCTTCCGGGAGACGGTCCTCTGGGGGGCGGGCAGCCTTTGGGGACATTTTCGGGAGGGAGGATCTCTTAGGGCGGGCATCCTTGTGAGACGGGGTGGGGCGAATCCTCCCGGGTGGGCATCGTGGGGTGGGGGTGGCCGTTCTACCAGGAGCATCCTCCCGGGCGGACGTTGGGGGATTCTCGGGGGAGGGAGGGGCGCCGGGGCGGGCGTCCCGGGGAAGGAGGGGCGTTGCGCGCGGACGCGGGCGGGGCCTGGGCCGCTCCCTCCCCTCCCCCCGCCCCGCCCCGCCCCCCGCGCTTCCTCCGCTTTAGGTTTCGCTTCCGCCTCTAGCGCGAGCTCCGCCGCCGCCGAGCATGGACGACCCCGACTGCGACTCCACCTGGGAGGAGGACGAGGAGGATGCGGAGGACGCGGAGGACGAGGACTGCGAGGACGGCGAGGCCGCCGGCGCGAGGGACGCGGACGCGGGGGACGAGGACGAGGACGAGGAACCGGAGGAGCCGCGGGCGGCGCGGCCCAGCGCGCTCCAGGTGCGGCCCGCGGCGTTGACGAGGCCTGGGGTCCCCGGCGCCCCCCGCCTGGCTGCGTGGACCGGAGACCCCCCTCTCCCGGGCGGAGATACCTGGGGTCTCCTGGAGCTCCCGCAGCCCCGGGGACCCCACCCCAGACCGGTGGACCCCGGCCCCAGGGCCTGGCGGAGAAGTGCGGGGGCCGCGCGTGGGTGATAGAACCTCCCGGGCCCCATCGTGCGTGGGCGCCGTTTCCCCCAGGGGTGCCTCGGGCGCGTCCCGTCTCCGGCCCCCGTGGCCGCCCCCGATGGGACCCCTCCCGCCTCAGGCCCGCGCCTTGGCCTCCTGGCGGCCCCTGCGCAGGCCCCGTGGCCTGGGGCTGGGTCTGGAGCCCGGGCCGGGGCCGGGTCTGGCCTGGGAGGCTTCGCTTCTGCACCCGCGGGAGCCCGGGGCTGGCTGGTGGCCTCTGCCTGTTACTTTTGTTACCGCCGGGCGCCTGTCAACGCCAGGGTTACTTTTGTTGCCAGCGGCTCCCTGAGCCGCGCTGGGAACGCCGCATTGTCACAGTCCGGTCCCGGTCGGGGAGCTGGGATTTATTTGGGAGCGCCCTTCTAGCTGAGCTGCCCGGGTTGTGGGGCCTGGGAAGTATCTGGAACTCCGAGCCATAGGCTCCGCATGGTTTCTCCCCTTGGCACCCAGCACTGTTTGCGTTTGCGCCTAGCCAGGGTGGAGTGGGCAGTGAGAGAGCACGGAGAGGCTGGGCCCTGTCGCTGGGAGGGCAGCTGCCAGGCAGGCTGGGCAGGGGGGCGGGGTCTGGCACTGACGGCGTGACCCCTGGGTGAGCTCTGACGGGCTCCCCTCACTGGAGTTCCTCAGGCCACTCTCCTGAAGCGGTGCTCAGAGGCCCTGACCATCCTGCCAGGCGCCTGTGACCTTTGACCTCTTCCCTTCTGCCTCCTGCTGTGGCTTCTGTCCCCAAGCCCCTCCCCTTCTCCTTCGGACCCCTCAGGCCTCCTGAGCTGCCTGCGCTGGACCCTGGCGGGGCTGTTTCACTTTCTCGTGGGCAGTGTCATGTGTGCACCTGTGGGCTGACTGTGGCCACGTGCAGTCAGGACCCAGCCTCTAGAACTGACCCAGGGAGGCTCCCGCTGGCCCCAGGAAGAAGTAGAAACTGATGGCTGGGCCGGGGGAGAGAACCACAGGAGCAGGCCCTGTTGAGAAGTCAGGCTGAGAGGCTGGTAGTGGTGGCTCAGGCCTGTAATCCCAGCACTTTCGGAGGCCTAGGTGGTCAGATCACCAGAAGTTGGGAGTCCAAGATTAGCCTGGCCAACATGGTGAAACTCTGTCTCTACTAAAAACACAAAATTAACCAGGCGTGGTGATGGGCACCTGTAATCCCGGCTACTCGAGAGGTTTAAGCAGGAGAATCACCGAAACCTGACAGGTGGAGGTTGCAGTGAGTGGAGAGTGCATGGAGCTCCCATCTCCGGGGGAAAGAAAAAGAAGGAAATCAGACAAAGAGGCAATGCCAGGCCCCAGCCGGAGCTCAGCGGGGAGCCAGGGGATACAGTGGCTGACCGGGCCTCCCAGACCCCTTTCTAGCACTCCCTGGGGATCCTGGGTCCCAGTTGTTACCCTGGACAAGCACACCCATTCCTGCCCTACCCACCAAGTGGGGCTCAGCCCCAGCCCCCTTACCCTCATCACAAGGTCAGGGCTGTGTCCCAGCATCCTCATCACTAGGTACTTCCAGCCCTTTGCTTAGCCTCATGATGCTTGGCCTGCAGAGATGGGGGCTGAAGGGCTTGGGGCATCAAGAGGACCTGACGTCTTGCTGAGAAGCCATCTCCAGACAGGGCTGGAGGCTGGAGACTCAGGGCCTGACCTCACCATGGCCAGTGAGGTGTGGGGTTGGGCAGGGAAGGGGCATTCATTCATTAGACACTGCCAGAAGCACGTGGGTCCCCTCCTGGGGCTATAGGTGGTGAGGCCACTGCCCCCAAGAACACAGCCTGGTGACTTTAAAGCACAAAGCAGGGGGAGTCTTCAGGGGCACAGAACAGAGGCTAAACCCAGAGTGGGGGGGTGGCCAGCAGGCCTAGGGGGAGGAGAGGGTCAGGGCCACACCCCTGGGGAGGTGCACGTCAGCCAGGGGCCATCCTAAGGTGGAAGCCAGGAGTCCCAAGGGGGCCTATAGAAGGAGCAGACCCCTACTTGGCTACTGTAGCCCTCTCTGGTTCTGTGCAGGGTGTTCGGGTACTTTACTGAGCCCCAAATCTGCCCCACCGGGAACCCCCGAAAAAGAACCAGGGCGGGAGAATGAAAGGGAGGAGCCATGAAACCCCCATCCTTTAAAGACAGGCCCAGGCCCTGCAGCCCTCACCACGGTGGGGGCTCACTTGGGGGTCTCCCATGGGGGTCCTAATCCCATCTCTTCTCTTCCCAGTCCAGGATGACAGGGTCCCGAAACTGGCGAGCCACGAGGGACATGTGTAGGTACCGGCACAACTACCCGGTACGTGCCTGCCCCTGCCTCAGGACACGGAGCCCTCCCACCAGCTGCTCTTCTCAGCATGTCCCGGCTTCTTCTGGAAGGCCGGCCTGGCTTGCTGCGCCAGGGCCACAATTCTGGGCAGGACCCTGCCTGGAGCACAGCCTGGTGTAGATTCAGAGCCCTGCCCATCCCCTCTCGTGGGAGACCAGGGGTGTCCCCCTACCTTTCTGAGCTTCAGCACACTGTAGCCTTGCAAATGTGGCCATAGTGCCAGCCATGATGTCACCCACACGGCACCCCACTCCCATGCCAGTCCTGTCTCCTGCGGGTGGTGGTTGTCCTCAGCAATTACCCTCCACAGCCCTGAATCACAGAAACCCCTGTGCTGCCTTCAGGGTGCTGAGGAGGGGACCTGCCAGGTCTGGCCTGGCTGGCGAGATGGGGAAGCGGGGGTCCCTGCTGCTTGGAGACAGCTGCTGTCCTCTGAATGGCCTCCACCTGCAGAGTGAGGAGCCATGCGGACTCTTGGGGTCTTGGGCCAGCCTGGAGGTTTGCAGGTGCTCCTCCCCGAAAGGCACGGAGGGCCCCAGGGCAGCTTGTATCTGATGGGTCCCTGCTGTCCCCTTTCTCTGGCTCTTCAGGATCTGGTGGAACGAGACTGCAATGGGGACACGCCAAACCTGAGTTTCTACAGAAATGAGATCCGCTTCCTGCCCAACGGTAGGTGCCCCACAACCACTGGCAGCCAGCACTTCCATCCTTGCCTGGCGGGGGTGGTCCACCGGGGCCTGGTTTGGGATGTCCCCCCGGGATTACCGGGACCACGGCTTTCAAATAGCGCCACAGTGCCCCCTGGAGGCGGCCAGAGGGACTCCAGGTCCCCCAGCCTGGGATCTCTGCAGAGAGGTGTTTGGGTCAGGGTGGGCCAAGTCTGCAAAGAGCCAGAGACTGAATATCTGCAGCTTTTCAGGCCACACGGTCTCTATCAAAACCACTGAGCTCCTCCACGACCTCATGCAAGCCACACGTACACCAAGGAGCTAAGGATGGTTTTTGTATTTTTAAATAGTTGGAAAAAAATTAAAGTAGAGGCCAGGCCTGGTGGCTCACGCCTGTAGTCCCAGCACTTGGGGAGGCCGAGGCGGGTGGATCACACAGTCAGGAGTTCGAGACCAGCCTGGCCAATATGGCGAAACCCCGTCTCTACTAAAAATACAAAAAAAATTTAGCCGGGTGTGGTAGTGTGTGCCTGTAGTCCCAGCTACTCAGGAGGCTGAAGCAGGAGAAGCGCTTGAACCTGGGAGGTGGAGGTTGCAGTGAGCCGAGATCAAGCCACTGTGCTCCAGCCTGGGCGACAGAGCGAGACTCCCTCTCAAAAAAAATAGAACAGTATTCTATGACTTTAATATTATAGGAAATTAAAATGTCAACGTCAATAAAGTTTCATGGGCACATGCCCACACCTGTTTATGCATTTGTCATGGCTGCAACGTGAAACAAAGAGACTGGGTGGCTGCACAAAATAGTGTCAGGCCCCCATCTCGGGAGACTGTGCCTGCCTGCCACATCATGGGGCTGGCAGCCCCACAAGCTGGGGGCTTTGTTTGAGGACAGATTTCTGTGGCTGACAGGCCACCTTTTGCGGGAGGTACTGAGGCCCCTCCTATACAGACAGGTCCTGGCCAAGGAGCACTGGTTCCCCCAGAGGGACCTTCCCGGCTCTTACTCGGGTTTGCCGCCAGCCAGCAGCAAGGGTCCAGTTCACAGTTGGCAGCAGGGCAAGGGCTGTGCGTCGGAGGAGGGATGGGCAGCCCCGCTGAGCCTGGCACCCTGAAGAGCCTCAGGAGACGGGGACGAGGAGTAGCTTAGGGAAGCTGCTGGCAGCACTGCCTCCCTTTGTCCCCCCCACACACCCCATCCTCCTGAGCACGGGCAGGGTAGCTGCCACAGCTGACTTGTCCCCATGGGGCTCCCAGGCTGTTTCATTGAGGACATTCTTCAGAACTGGAGGGACAACTATGACCTCCTTGAGGACAATCACTCCTACATCCAGTGGTGAGTTCGGGAGAATGGGAGGATGGGCGGTGGGGGAGGCTTCAGGGGGAGGGGCCCTCCCAGGCAAGAGCCCTCCCCATGCTGCTTCCTGGCGTGACTGAGCACTCCCTGTCCTTCCTGGAAGCTTCCTGTCCATATGACACGAATGGACATTACTGGACATGCAAGAGCCACTGAGGGAAGGCTCAGGTCTGTCCCCAGTCTGTGGGCTCTTGGTGACTAGGGGGACAGGAAGGGCTGCACACAAGCTCCCTGAAACAGGAGAGGGGGCGGGTCCTGCCTGCCAGAGGGGCAGCCTTGGTGCCAGGAGGCCTCTGTGAGCCTCAAGAGGTGGCCCCTGTGTCCGACTCAGCTGGGGCAGGATCCTGGCATAGTGCTGGGGTGAGCCTCGTGCAGGCATCTCGGGAATCCACAGTGTAGCCTCGGAAACACAGCAAGCTCTACTTTGGGGACAGCTCTCTGGGCATCCACAGGGAGCCTCTGCTGGCGTGCGATGTGTCACGAGTGACAGCACAAGAGAGGGAAGACTTCCGTGAGGAGTAGAAAGGAAGGCCCTGGTCTGCCTGGGGTGGATGGCCGCAGGGCCCCTTGCTATCTGAGTCACCTCCCCAGTGCTGCTGAGCATGCAGGCTGTGGTCACAGCCGCACACCTCCTGTCCTGGGCCCTCGCCCACTCACCTGAGCTCCCCCACCCCTGCTCCTCTGCCTAGCCACTCCCTCCTAGAGTTGAGCCTGGGGGAGCCCAGAGAGGATGGGAGCTGCCCCGGGCTACACAGCAAGTACGTGCCTGAGAGCTGGAAGCAGCTCTCCTAACCCCTTGCCTGGGCATCTCTTCTCCTGCAGGCTGTTTCCTCTGCGAGAACCGGGAGTGAACTGGCATGCCAAGCCCCTCACGCTCAGGGAAGTCGAGGTGAGCCAGGCCTTGGCTGTGGCTGGAGGGGGAGATGGGGAGGCCTGGGCAAGCCACGCCTCTTCAGAGACAGAGTCACATCTGACAGCAGGCATTGAGTGCCCCCTCTGGGGCCCCTTGAAAGGCAGAGGTCCAGTATGATGACCTCTAGTATGACCTTCCCTCCCCAGTGGTTCTCGCCCCACTAGGCATCTAGAGAAACCTAATTTCCGAGGCTGTTTGTCCCCATGTGGGGGTCTGGGACTGAGCTCCTGAGAGACCTGGAATGGTGGGATTTGCCTTTCTCACCACTGGTTTAGGCTGGAGTGGGGTCACCCAAGTCTGGAAGCTGCCCCTGAAGGATGCAGGGACTTAGAGAGCCAAGGGGCCCCTCCTGGCGCTTTCCCGTGGCCAGGGCCTTCCTCTGGGGGGAGGGCAGCAGCCTCGGGCCCTGGCAAGAGCTCGGAGCAGCTCAGAGGAGAGATGAAGACTTGAATGTGTCTCTTGTCACTTTACCCTAAAAGTCTAAGTTCAGGCCAGGCGCCATGGCTCACATTTGTAATCCCCACACTGTGGGAGGCTGAGGCAGGTGGACCACCTGAGGTCAGGAGTTTGAGACCAGCCTGACCAACGTGACAAAACCCCGTCTCTACTAAAAATACAAGAAAAATAGTCAGGCGTGGTGGTGGGCACCTGTAATCCCAGCTACCTGGGAGGCAGAGATTGCAGTGACTGAGATTGCACCACTGCACTCCAGCCTGGGCAACAGAGCAAGATTCTGTCTCTAAATGTATGTATGTATGTATATGTGTGTGTATGTGTGTATGTCTGTCTGTCTAGTCCAGGCCTCTGAGTGAGTCGGGACCCAAGGCCACCCCCACACTCCCCGAGAGAACTGGGGCTTCAGGGATGGGCCTGAGCTCTCCAAGGGGGTCTTTTCCAGGTGTTTAAAAGCTCCCAGGAGATCCAGGAGAGGCTTGTCCGGGCCTACGAACTCATGCTGGGCTTCTACGGGATCCGGCTGGAGGACCGAGGCACAGGCACAGTGGGCCGAGCCCAGAACTACCAGAAGCGCTTCCAGAACCTGAACTGGTGAGGCCCCGCGACTCCTGCCCGCCCCCAGCCCCAGCACAGAACAGGGTCACGTCAGGTTTCGGGCAGGTCACAGAGCGCTGCTGCAGACACACAACTCCAGGGCCGCTTGGGCAAGGACCAAGGCCCTGAGCCCCTCCTTGCTGCCTGTAGAGCCAGGCGGTCGGTCCCTCCCCAGTAGGGTTGGTGAGAAGGTGAAGAATGCTGTTCCTGCACCCGGGAGGGGGCAGTCCGCACAGAGAAGCAAGCAAGGGTGAGGGAGAATCTGCAGTGGCACAGCCAGCTCTCACAGGGTGATCAAGGCCCCTGTACCCTGGAGGGGCCCCTTGTGGTTCTTGTCCAGCCAGCTGCTCCCCACCAGGGGGACTCGGGGTACAGCCACCCTCTAGGTGATGTGTCAGTATCCCCACCTCCAGCCCCCCTGTGTCTAGGGCCCACAGGCCATTTTCATGGGGACAGCGTGAGTCCTCCCCTGGGCCCAGGGAGGCAAATGGAGAGAAAGACTGGATCGTGGGCCGGGATGGGGAGACTCCCGTGGAGCTGGGTGGGAGTGCAGGCCAGGACAGGATGTGGCCCAGCAGGAGGGGCCCCGGCCATTGACCTCTGCTGACCCGAACCTCCCACAGGCGCAGCCACAACAACCTCCGCATCACGCGCATCCTCAAGTCGCTGGGTGAGCTGGGCCTTGAGCACTTCCAGGCGCCGCTGGTCCGCTTCTTCCTGGAGGAGACGCTGGTGCGGCGGGAGCTGCCGGGCGTGCGGCAGAGTGCCCTGGACTACTTCATGTTCGCTGTGCGCTGCCGGAGCCAGCGCCGCCAGCTGGTGCACTTCGCCTGGGAGCACTTCCGGCCCCGCTGCAAGTTTGTCTGGGGGCCCCCAGACAAGCTGCGGAGGTTCAAGCCCAGCTCTCTGCCCCGTCCGCTCGAGGGCTCCAGGAAGGCGGAGGAAGAAGGAAGCCCCGGGGACCCCGACCACAAGGCCAGCACCCAGGGTCGGACCTGTGGGCCAGAGCACAGCAAGGGTAGGGGCAGGGTGGATGAGGGGCCCCAGCCACGGAGTGTGGAGCCCCAGGATGCGGGACCCCTGGAGAGGAGCCAGGGGGATGAGGCAGGGGGCCACAGGGAAGATGGGCCAGAGCCCCTAAGCCCCAAGGAGAGCAAGAAGAGGAAGCTGGAGCTGAGCCGGCGGGAGCAGCCCCCAACAGAGCCAGGCCCTCACAGTGCCTCGGAGGTGGAGAAGATCGCTTTGAACTTGGAGGGGTGTGCCCTCAGCCAGGGCAGCCTCAGGACGGGGACCCAGGAAGTGGGGGGCCAGGACCCCGGGGAGGCCGTGCAGCCCTGCCCCCAACCCCTGGGAGCCAGGGTGGCTGACAAGGTGAGGAAGCGGAGGAAGGTGGATGAGGGTGCTGGGGACAGTGCTGTGGTAGCCAGTGGTGGCTCCCAGACCTTGGCCCTTGCCGGGTGCCCTGCCCCATTGGGGTACCCCAAGGCTGGACACAGTGAGAACGGGGTTGAGGAGGACACAGAAGGTCGAACGGGGCCCAAAGAAGGTACCCCTGGGAGCCCATCGGAGACCCCAGGCCCCAGCCCCACAGGACCTGCAGGGGACGAGCCAGCTGAGAGCCCGTCGGAGACCCCAGGCCCCAGCCCAGCAGGACCTGCAGGGGACGAGCCAGCCAAGGCAGGGGAGGCAGCAGAGGTGCAGGACACAGAGGCGAAACCTTCTGCCAAATCTGGGAAGCCTTAAGGAAAGGATTGCCCAATGGCGCGTTGGACCTCTGGCCCTGCTGCAAGGGCTGGGGCCTCCGGAGCTGCTGCGGGCTCCCCTCAGGCTCTGCTCCGTGACCCATGACCTGCAGTGCTGGCCTCCCGTGGTGGCCACTGTAGCAGCCACCGGAAGGTGTGAGGCCCTCAGGGAAAGCCAAGGCCTGCAGAAGCCTCCTGGCCTGGCTGTGTCTTCCCCACCCAGCTCTCCCCTGCACCCCTGTCTTTGTAAATTGACCTTTCTCGGGTGGAGGGGGTGGGGGGCAGGGCTGCTTTTCTTAGTCTGGTGCCAAGCAAGGCCTTTTCTGAATAAACTCGTTTGACTTTGAGTCTTTGGTATGGACTGGGGTCCTGTTGGGTGGCTGGTAGGGCTGGTGTCACGGCTGCTGTCCCTCCAGGCTCCGGTGGCCTGGCCCGGCTACTGCCTCACATTGCTCCACCAGGTGCCCGTGGGGGCAGAGTGGTGGCACAGCCCTCCCCACACACCCACTTGGCCACAGTCCCCAGGTGTGCACAGGTGGGCAGGCTGCAGCCTCTCAGAGCCTTCGAAGGTCGGACTGAGGTCCCTCAGCAGGCTTTGCCACCTGTTGAAGATGAGTCTGGGAATTCCCCTGGGGTGGGCTGGGGGCAGTGCTTGTGCATGGTGGGGGTGTAGACAAGGCCTTTCTGCCTGCTGTGATCTAGGATGCGATGCTGTGCCTCGGGCAGGCTTGGCAGTGCTCTCTGTCTGGCTCCTTGGCTCCCTCAGGTCTGGTGAAGCCAGGTGCGCCCCCCGGGCAGCCCCTCCCTGCAGTCTGGTCTTGTCACCCTGGGCCAGGACCCCCACCCTTCCCGGTTCACTACATTTCTACATCAGCGGGGTAAGGAGCTTTTGTGGGGCCTCAGGAGGGGCCGGACACTTGTCTTTGCTCAGTGAAGGATAAGGCAGACCCGGGGCACCCCTGGGTGGGAGGATTAAAGCTGAAGACCCTGGTACCACTTCAGGGAAAATGCCCAGGTCCCATCTGGTGGCACCGGATACACAAGCCAGAAGTCATTGGGAGGAGACACCCCAGGTTCAATGATCCCCCAGAGCTGGGTGGGGAAGCTGTGGGACCCCTGGTGCCTCAACTCACGTGTGGCTCAGTGAGGGGATTCCTGCCATGGAGGGAAACCGAGGCAGTGAGGGGGACATAGGGCTAGAAATGCAGTCACTGGGGCAGCACCCAACAGATCCAGCGTCCCTGGTTGAGGCCGTTGTGGGGCTGGAGTCGGTGGAAATCAGCACCTGAAGTGAGGAGCCCCTGTTGGAGCAGCCCTGGGGGCCGGTGCCTGGTGGTGGGCGCCTGGCGACAGCAGGCAGTGCTGGCCAGCCAACCTGGGCTTCAGGGAGAGTGATGACCCACAACGGGCGGGCAGCAGGAGGCTCTGCACCACTCAAAGGTGAGCCGGGGGAGGCTGAGCTCTGGCAGCGTCCACCCTCTGCCCAGGATCTGCCTGGAGCTGGGGGTGGTTTTTTGAGGGACTTGAAGGTGGTTCAGGGGGACATCAAGTAGGTGTCCCAGGCGTGAGGCGGCTCCCCTGGCCTGAGGTGAAGGCCAGCTGTTTTGTCTCATTTGGATCAGAGAGCAATTCTTGCTGACCGCATGCTGGGCATCGTGGGGATAGGCAGAGTGGGGTGTGGGGCCAGGGACCAGGGGAGAGCCACTGAGGAGGGGCTGGCCACAGGGTCATCTTGCCAGGTGGAACTGGTAGGGAGGAGGACTCCTGTCCCCCAGACCCTGGGCTTGGGGTGGGGCTGCTGCTAGGAGCCCCTGAGGCCCCCTGCTGTCTGGGCTGACCTGCTCCACCCACCCCTCCCCCTTGTCAAAAGTCCTCTGTTAGGAAGCTCTGTGCCAGGATGACTTGGACTCCTCAGGAGGGTGAGCCTTTCCAGCTCCTCCCGCCTGGCCTGATGGAATTCACACCCCCCCCCCCCAGTCACCGCTGTCCCCCAGCAGTGAAGGGAGACTCTCCCTCCACTCACTTCACCTCGGGAGAGATTAGAGCGACACTTTATGATTTTGAGACAGGGTCTCACTGTCTTGCCCAGGCAGGAGTGCAGTGGCACCATCTTGGCTCACTGCAGCCCCCACCTTACGGGCTCAAGTGATCCTCTTGCCTCAGCCTCCTGTGTAGCTGGGCCTACAGGTGAGCACCACCATGCCCAGCCGATGTTTTAATTTTTGGTAGAGATGAGGCCTCCCTCTGTCACCCAGGCTGACTGCGTCTGGCGGGAGTGCCACACTCCTGCTGAGCCATTTGCGCCCACTCCCCTCTTATCCCCTCCTGCCCTTGCTAACTCGCAGCATCGCAACAGTCCTGAGTCCCCACCTGCCCAAAAGAAGCTCCTGCAGCCTCCTACAACCCCCAGGGCAGCCTTTCTCGGGGAATTCTCAAGACTCCTGGGGGAGGGGCTGCCATTCTGCGCCTTCATTGACCCTACAGGCAACTGAAGCGTTTGAGTCCCCTAGGGCAGCGACTGCCCTGGCAGCCTGAGACAGACCTTGGCCGGACTTGGCAACCCCCGAGCTTGTGGGAGATGGACATGGCCAGCACCGCCTTCAGGTTCCTGCTCAGGACACAGTTCCTTCAGGCCGGGAATCCGGGGGAGGCATCCTTCTCCTGGACCAGGGTCATCGTTTTGTGCTTGCTCCCGGGAGTCTGGGGTTGGAGTCTTGTCTTAGCCAGTGGCAGCTGACGTGGCCTGACCACCCGGCCTGTCGAGGTCCACGGGTGACGGGCCGCGGTGGGGGTGCTCCCAGCCCAGCAGGCAGCCCTGGACAGCGACCCCAGAGCAGGAACCAGGGCTGCAGTGGGCACTGACCTGGCCCTGGTACCGAGGATTCACCCTCCCCGGGGTCTTCCTGGGCCTTGGGCCGCCTGGGTCCGCTCCAGCGCCTGGAGAGGGGTCTGCGGCTTCGGAAACTCCCGGGTCCCCCCTGCCCCTTCCTGAAGGGAGCCCTTCAGCGCCGCACGCTTCCTCCCCCACACTTGGGTTGAAGAGCAAGGAGGGAAAAGAGCGTCTTTCTCTCTTGCTCAAAGCTGCGTGTGTGCAACGCGCCAGCCCCAGGATAATTTTAACTCGCGGCCGGAGAGAACGCGCCGCCGCCCGGCGTCTTTTTTTTTGTTTTTTCACCCTGGCGGGTTGGGCTGCGGCGCAGGGCGGGTAGAAGCCCCCCCTCCAGGTGGGCCCGGCTGAATGGGGGGCTTGTGCAGGCGGGGGCGGGGAAGGGGAAGGGGAAGGGGCCGCCCACCTCACGCCCCGCCCGCCCGCCCGCTGCCAGCCCCGACGCCGCCGCAGTTCAGACTCCGCGCAGCCATGGCCCGGCCGCCCGCGCTCGCCCCGCTGCTGCTCCTGCTCCTGCTCGGGGAGCTCCTGGCGGCCGCCGGGGCGCAGGTGAGCGCGAGCTCCGGGCTCTGACGCTGGACGTGGAGCCGCGCGGCCCAGGGACGGCCCCAGCCCCGTGCCCGCCACTCCAGGGTGCCCGGCGCAGCCGCGACGCCCCCAGCCCATGTCGCCGTCGGGGCGCGGAGTCGCCAGAGCCTCGGGATGAGCCTCGACCGACTGTGTCCTCGATGGGTCCTCGCTGGCCCTGGTCGGCCGGCGCCGCCGCCTCTGCTGGGAGCACAAGGAGGCCTTTGTTCCCGCGGCCCGAGGGAGGCGGGGGACACACTGCCCGGGGGCGCCTGGCTCCGCCCGAGGCTTTGGGGCTCACTGAGGAGAGCAGGCCCCAGAGCCGCTCGGGACCGGGAGGAGGGAACGCTGGGTCCGGCCCACCGGGGCACCTGCGCTCCTTAATGAGTTTTCTCCGTTTCAGAAAGTGGGACTCCCAGGCCCTCCAGGCCCCCCAGGGCCGCCGGGGAAGCCCGGCCAGGACGGCATTGACGTGAGTTTGGGGGTGGGGAGGGCCCCGAGCACTCTGGGGTTCTGACTCTGGCCCCCACCTCCCTGAGCTCCCCAGCCTGATGGAGAGAAAACCAGGCCCCACCTCCCAGAGCCAGGGTGACACCAGGGGGCAGCCAGAGCCTTCACGGGATGGAGGTGGCCCTTCGGGGATTGTTGGTGGGTAGGGGTGGAGGGTGTCACGTGGTGGTCCCCGACCCAGAATGCCGGCACTGAGCTGTGTGTCTCTGGGTCCCCTGAGGGGCCTGTGCCCCTGTGCTCTGGGTTCTGGCCCCTGGGGCTGAAGTGGGGAGGGGCACGTCCCTCGGGTGGATGGGGGCCGGGGGTCTTGTTGGAGGTTGCTGCGCTCTGGAGCCAGCCATGGAGGGGGTTCAGGAGCCAACTCGGTCCCAGAGATGATGTCCCTCACGGGTATCTCAGGCCTGGTGTGGACCAAGCAGCAGGAGGGAGCAGCTGAAATTCTACAGCTGTGTGTCTCTTGGAGGGACCGTCTGGGGTGAACCTCCCCGTGTGACCACCACCGGGGCGGGGGTCCCCTCAGGGCCTGTGCTCGCTGTGTGGTTCCTCATGGAGGGCCGTGGCAGGCTGCACCAAGAGCCCCCCGTGACCCACCCTCTGCCCCCCGCCCAGCTCGGCCTCAATGGCCACAGCCTCCTTCCCCAGCCGCAGGGCTGTGCTCAGGACAGGCATGTGGACCTGAACCCCCATGGCCCACGGCCCTGGCCTCCCTAGGCTCCTCCTGGGCCAGACACCTGGACCCCAGGGCTCCCACCTGAAGCCTGGTCTTGACGTCTCAGTTAAAGACCCGGTGGTCGTCAACAGGGTGGGGAGCTGGGGGATCTTCCTGGAGACTGTGGGGAAGCTGCCCTTCGCAGCAGATGGAACAGAGAGGCCTCCCAGCCCCCAGGCCTTCTTCCTAAAGCCCCAGGCCATTGAGGGAGGGGGATTACTGATGCATTCCCATCACTCCTGGGAGCTGTGTCCCCGCCTGCAAAGTGGTTCCCAAATGCCCTGTGGCTGCAAGCGCTGAGCCTCTCTCTCCAGGTCACCCCTTTGCCTATTGCTGCCCCACACATGGGAGGGTGCCCCCTAGGTATGGATCGGGGGCTCAGGGACGCCTTTTGTCTGCTTGAGCTGGGCCTCCAGGGCTGATTTGGAGGCCAGTGCTGCTCTTTACCCTGAGGCAGGGTTCTTGGGGGACCTCTGATTTTCAGGGTTACATGTGGGTATCTTTCCTCACAGGGAGAAACTGGTCCTCCAGGTCTGCCTGGGCCCCCGGTGAGTGTCCCTGGCTGGGGAGACAACCTTTTTCTAGTCTGGAGAGAAAGAGGGGACTCGGAACAGAGGGGTCATTGATGTCCTGTCGCATCCTGCCGGAGCCCGGGTTGCCTAAGGGGAGGCCTCAGAGGGCCCAGAGCAGGCCCGGAGCCAGGGGGGCGGGAGGGTAGTGTGTGGGCTCAGCCTCTGCATGTTCTGGGCAGGGCCTAACTTTGAAGCTTTCTTTGGACCAGTGCCAGGCAGGCCAGGGCCGGGGCTGGTACAGCCCTTCAGGTGCCCCAGGCCCAAGGTGGCACGGAGCCCTCCCACCTTCTCCAGCCCCAGGGATTGAGGGTCCTGGGGCTCAGAGTTCTGTCTGGGCCCACTGGGGGTCCAACAGAGATGCCTGCTGGCTCTTAGCCAGGGAGGCTGAGGTGACCAGACGAAGATCTTACAGATGCCACTGAGGGATGAGGCAGGCAGCCTTCCTGGGCCAGCAAGCTGTGGGCAAGCAGGACACAGTGCCCCAGCTGAGCTGGGTCTGCCAGACGGCAGGGAGGACCCAGGTGGGGGGAATTGGAAAGCATTTTGCTTCCTTGCTGAAGGCCTGGGCTCGGAGCCAGACCCCGCCCTCATATCTCTGCCCTTTCCTCCTGCACAGGGACCAAAGGGGGCCCCAGGAAAGCCGGGGAAATCAGGAGAGGCCGGGCTGCCAGGACTGCCGGGTGTGGACGTGAGTGCGCCTGCCCCTCCCCCCATGCCCCGCTCCCCGCTCCAAGGCTCTGGAGGAGTCCAGCCTTAATTGCTGTTGTCCAGCTGGGCCTGCTCAGGCGGGAAACCCAGTCCTGAGAGAAGTCTCCAGAAGTCCCCAACAGGGGTCCTTTGGCCTTCGTCCCAGACGCCACTAGCATCTGGCAGAGGACAGAGCCAGCCCAGTGGAGTCGGAAGTTCCGCCAGCCTTCGCTTGTCCAGGAATGAGTGCCCATTGTCAGGCCCCTCTGCCCACTGCTGCCCGGGCCCCTGTGAGCCCCAGGCTGGTCTCGCTCAGTCATCATGGGCTCCAGGCCTGGCCCCAGGGCCACTGGAGCTTTATTTGGGAAGCCAGGCCTGAGAAGTGAGCTGTCCAGTCCTACTGGGTTGGTCCCCGAGGCCTGACTACAGCAGGCGCCTCCGTTGCTGGCTTCCTGCTGGCTGCCCCCCTCCTCCCAGGCCCTCTGGGCACAGCAGGTAGACAGTAGACAGGGCCAAGAGAGGAGGCTGCCAACCTAAGGGTCTTCTGTGCCTCTCTGGACTCACCAAGAGAAGGGTCCATGCTTCCATTTTTGCCTGGGAGTGGCATGTGCTTCCCATGTGGCCCCTCGAACTCGCCCTCTGCCTCTTTCCCCAGGGTCTGACTGGGCGAGATGGACCCCCTGGACCCAAGGGTGCCCCTGGGGAACGGGTAAGTGCCTGCGCCAAACCCAGTGGCTTCAGTTCAGAAGTGAAGTCCCCCGGCCACCTCTGGCTGTTCTGTGTCCACAAGGCCAAGGAGCTGGTAGTTCCAAGGACAGCTGCCCTGCCCGTGCCTGGGGTGGAGGGGCAGAAGGGCAGGATGCCACGTGGCCAGTCCCCTGTGCCTGCCTCCCTGCCCCACCCCCACATATGGTCAGAGTTGTCCTGGTATCCAGACCATGGCAGGGAGAAGAGGGATGGTTTGGGGGAACCCACCCCAGGTGCCTCCTCAGAATGTCCCTGCAGCCCCCAGGGCCCTGGGCAGACCACCACCAGGGACCCCTGGGCACGCAGCCTGCAGAGTCCCCTGTGCCTGCCTGCTGGACACTGAATCCTTTACCCTGACTGAGTGGCACCACCACCCAAGGGTGCCTTTCTCCCCTCGTGGCTTCTGAGTACAAAACTGAAACCAGCATTCTCTCTTTGGCCCTCATAAGACATGGCAGTCAGCCAACCGGGTGCCACTGACCCCAGACTCAAATCATCACAGAGGGCAGGAAGGCTGGGCTGGGAACACAAGGACACAGCCCTGCCTGTGGGCCCCTTGGGAGCTCGTCAGGCATGAGGCGGATTCTGAGCTGAAAACAGGAGGGAAACAGTAGCTGCTGGCGGCCGAGTCTGTGGTGCCCAGGGGTGTGGGGTGGGCTCGTCTCCAGGCTTTCAGGAGGGGCCTCCAGCCTCAGAGCAGGGCCCGTGTGAGCCGTCCAGGGAATGACACATTTCAAGCAGCAGGGCCCAGACAGGGCCCAGAGTTTGGACAGCAGACGGCACCTGGCTGTCCAAGGCTCTGGGGACTTGCTGACGTGGGCGGGGGCTGAGGATTCAGCAGGCTTCGTGGGTGGGTTATCGGGAGGGCTTCCTGGTGGAGACAGGCACCTGGGGTCACTTCTGTGCATCTCAGACCTGCCCCAGGTCGCGCCTTCGCCTTTCTGTAGCAGGCACTGGGACTCTGGTGCCATCTGTCTCCGGCAGCTCCCCAGGACGTCAAGGACCCTCCAGGTCGAGGGCTCAGAGGCCCTGCCCCTCTGTGAAGTGGGGACTTGGACCCTGTTGCCCTGGGAGTTGGAGCTGTGGGTCACACTTCAGCGGGAGGGGATTGGGTTTGCAAATAGAGGCCCAGCTCAACCTAGACACCTGCTTTCCTCCCACAGGGAAGTCTGGGACCCCCGGGGCCGCCCGGGCTGGGGGTGAGTATGGAGTGTGGTCCTCTCCTCTCCATGCAGTTTGGGGAACTGGAGAGGTCTGGTCTAAATGGCATCCAGGAATCGCAGGGGCCATCCCTGGCCCTCTCCTCTGCCACCCCTCTGCAGCCTCTCCTGAGGCTGGTGCCTGGACAGGGTCCTGGAGCCCTCTCTGGGCTGGGACCAGATGCCCATGCCTGGAACCGCCCTTTCCCCGGGACCCACCTGAACCATCTTAGGGAGGGGTGAGGTGCAGCCCATGTTGTGCCCAGCAGGCTCTGACCCCATGTTTGGCTTTGCAGGGCAAAGGCCTCCCTGGACCCCCCGTGAGTACTGACAACCCTTGGGGCCCTGAGCAAGCGTGCCAGTACCCAGAGCCTGCCAGGCTGGGGTGTCCCAAACCATGCCTGGGTGTAGGGCTTCTCAGGGGCAGTGATCTGACCATCCCATACCTGGAGCCCCCCTCCCTTCGGAGGCGGCACACCGACCCTGGGTGGGGATCCTCGGGGCTCCCAGGGGCAGACCTCCTCACCTCTCTTTACCTCCCTCCAGGGAGAGGCAGGAGTGAGCGGCCCCCCAGGTGGGATCGGCCTCCGCGGCCCCCCGGTGAGTGGCTGTCCCAGACCCTCTTAGAGTGTGCTCACCTATGGCCTCCACCCCCAGACTCAACAGCCAGGGACCCTCTTCCCTTCTCCCCTTTCCCTTTCTCCCCCACCCCTACGTTGGTACGTGTTGGTAGAAGTCCTGGCCAATGATCCAGACCCGACCTCAGGACGCAGACACCAGCAGAGGCCGTGGGAGTGGGGGCTGGCGGGAGCTGGGCGTGTCCACCTCCCTGGGAGAAGCCGGGCACCTCACTTAGGTGGGGGCTGGTCCCACTCTAAGTCATACCACTCTAAGACATACCCCCTCCCCAGGGACCGTCTGGACTCCCCGGCCTCCCTGGCCCCCCGGGACCTCCCGGACCCCCTGTAAGTACTGGGCAAAGGCTCTAAAAAGTGCTGGGCATGGACTAGGGCACCGGGTTGGGCCCTCCCCCGGCTCCATGCCCTCCGAGATCTCCTAACCCTAACTTGGCCACTCCCAGAAACAGTCAGTGGTGGGGCCAGTGGCTGTGGCTAGGCCAGCCAACTTGGGGATGATCAGGGCTCAGGTCCCCAAGGCCACCCTGCCCCAAGGACAGGTGGATTCTGTCATTGTCACATGCCCTGTGGGTGGGCCAGCAGCACCCAGCACTGGCCACTTGGGGGACGGGATGAAGGGTCTCCAAGTCCCCTGGTGGATGGGGAAGGTTGTGGTCCGTCAGAGAGTGGGTGGGTGGGTGGGTTGGGTGGTTGCAGGTGGACGGGGAGGGCAGGAGAATGTCAGCTGTCTCTTTGTGTCTTAGGGACACCCAGGAGTCCTCCCTGAAGGCGTCACTGACCTTCAGGTAGGCACTTGCAGCCATATGTGAAGGGCGCTGGGAGGTGTCTACCTTGGGGGGCGGGGTCTGGCCTGGAGAGGGACTCGTCCATCCTGGCAAGAAGGCAGGGCCCGAACACTCCCTGGGGACGGGAGCTCAGTGCAGACAGCTCAGACACAACCTGGCAGAGAGCCTGGCTGGGACCTCCCCTTCCCGCTTCCCGCCCTCCTCGCCACTGCCTAGACCTGCACTGTCCCTCACAAAGCCACCAGGGCGTGGAGCTGGGCAAATTTAATGAATCACAATCATGTCATGGAGCCATCGAGCTCCCCTGCGTCATCCACAGAGGACACCTTTGGCCACAGATGGCGACAGAATAGTCCCTCGCTGCATTCGGGACTGCAGTCTGGGGCCTACCTTTATCTTGATCTTTGAGCCATGTCAATCACCTGAAAAGAAAACAGGCTCAGGCCAGGCACAGTGGCTCACGCCTGTAATCCCAGCACTTTGGGAGGCCAAGACAGGAGGATTACTTCAGCTCAGGAGTTTGAGACCAGCCTGGGCAACATAGTGAGATCTTTGTGTCTACAAAAAATTTTTAAAGTAGCCAGACGTGGTGGCATGCCTGTTGTCCTAGCTATTTAGGTGGCTGTGGTGTGAGGATCACTTGAGCCCAGGAGGCAGAGGTTGCAGTGTGCTGTGATCAAGCCACTGCATTCCAGCCTGAGCAACCAAGCTAACCCCTGTCTCAAAAAAAAAAAAAAAAAAAAAAAAAAAAGGAGGAAAAAAAATGGGCTTGGGAGGCCACGGATCCATCTCTCCTCTGGTTGGCCATCTGTGGTGGCAGTCAGTGCCTCGTTTCCATAGAGAGGTTTGATAGTTTTGAAGGGAAAAGCTCGGCCCACTCCGACCTGGCCACCGGTGGCTGTCTACCAGCCTCTCTCCTCACCCCACCCCGGGGCCCGGGTGCCTGGCCAGCCTGTGTCTCAGAAGGGAGGCTTTAGGGAACCTTCCAGAATGTGGTGTGTGATTGGGCCCCTGACCATGGGATGAGTGGGGCGGGGGCTGAAGATACGGGTCTGAACCCTTGGCCCAGCCTGCCCATTGCAGCTGTGGGATAATCTAGAAGCAGCCCTGGGTTTCCTGAGCATCAGGCCTGTTGCCTGGGCTCACGGTGTCCCTCCTAAAAGCCCCGTGCTAAGCATGTTCCTGTGCTGAGGACAGCCCCCAACCTAAGGCTGCTACAAGGCCCCCTGCAGAGCCAACTGCCGTGCTATGCTGAATGGCTGCTTTCAAACCCAGTGTCTGCCGTGGGGCTGAGAAATCCGAGCCGGCTGCTCTATGCAGCCTTCGCTGGGCTTGGCCAGGTCTTCGAAGGAGACCCTGTCTGTGATCTGTCCTGGTGTCGTCACCGGGGTGGAGTGGCCTCCTGGGGTCCCGTCACCCGTGCGGAGTGGCCTCCTGGGGTCCCGTGGGTGCTGACCTCTGCGTCAGAGGGTCCTGCTCTGTTTGGCTGGGAGGGGTCTGACTGCTCTGTTTTCCGACAGTGCCCAAGTATCTGCCCACCAGGTCCCCCAGGGCCCCCTGGAATGCCGGGGTTCAAGGTGAGTCACTGGGACCCAAGCACTGCCCTATGCAAGGGCAGGAGGTGGCCGGGCTCCCATGGGGCTGTGGGGGTGGCAGGTCCAGAAAGCTGGGCCCTGGTTCCAGGGTTGCCCCAGGAAGAAAGCCAGTCCAGCCTCCCTGTCCCGCCTTCAGCACCCCAGTGACAAGCTGATGTGGCCAGGCTGGGACTGGTAATGGGCGTCAGAGAGACTGTGGGGGAGAGCTAGCCTCAAGCCCCCACCACGCCCCCAGCCCTGGCCCGCTCCTGACCGCAGAGTGCCCTCAGGTGGGTCCCAGCGCCTCTCAGGCCTCGGTTTCCCCGTGAGGGCCCAGGCCCGCAGTCCTGTGCTGCCGTGTGGCGGGCCCTGGGCTGACTGACCCTGCAGGCCTCACTTCAGTGTTGCCAGGGAGGGGGTGTCAGGGGGTCGAGGGGGCAGTGACCCCATGTTTGCTTTCAGGGACCCACTGGCTACAAAGGCGAGCAGGGGGAAGTCGGCAAGGACGGCGAGAAGGTAAAGCTGCCGCACAGCAGCTGGGGAGGGGCTGGGGCCTGGGGGCTGGGCTCGGGCGGGAGGGAGGGGCTGTCTCATGGGTGTGGCTGTGCTGGCACCTGCTGTGCCCGTCTTCTGGGGGCCTGGCTGGCCAGAGCTGCGTGATTTGGGCAGGGTCCCTGGACAGATCCCGCCTGCCTGGCCTGGCTGTGGAAGCTCTCCCTGGTTTGTGTCTGTGGCCGGGCAAGGGGCGTCTGTGAGGATGACTGTCTTTAGCCTGTAGCCTCCCCTCACCTGTGGCTGCTGTCCATGGAGGGTGTCCATCGTCGCCTGCAGGCCGGGGGACCGGGTCTGGGATGGCCTTTAGCATGGCTGGAGTGATCAGATGAGGAGACCCCAGGTGCACATCAGAGGGGTCCCTGCTTGGCCATGAGGAGGGGCCTGGACAGGGCTGAAGGGTCTTATGGGAACAGTGGCCACAGACCCAGCCCCCGCAGGGCGAGGCCACCGAGACTCGCAGGACTGCTCTGGAGCTGTGGGCAAGTGACCCCTTCGCAGAGCCTCCAAGGCCCAGCTGTGAAGGGGGCAACGCCCCCAGCTGCTTGGACTTGAGCAGGGCGACTAGAGGCACTGAACGGTGCAAGGAGAGCCAGACTGGGCCACTGACCACCCTGTCTGCTCTGTTTCAGGGCGACCCTGGCCCCCCTGGGCCCGCCGGCCTCCCGGGCAGCGTGGGGCTGCAGGTGAGGCTAGGAAGGGGTAAGGATGGTGGGATGGGAACTCAGCCCTACACGTGTCTACCCCCGAGGGGGCCGTCTCGGGCTGGGGAGTGTTTGGCCAATACCCAGGCACAGGAGCACGACCTGGCTGGGGGTCTCACCTCTGCCAAGGCTGCGGATCTCAAGGCTGGTGCCCCCTACCTCTGGGGGAGCTGAGCTGAGGCTGAGGGCTCATGGAAGACACCAGGGCTCCCAGGGGTACCCCGAGGGCCGAGGCCCTGCGTGCTCCCCGGGGTGGAGGTGAAGCCCTAGTCTCTGCATCTGTGCCTCTCTCCCGCAGGGCCCGCGGGGATTACAAGGACTGCCAGGGCCACTTGGGCCCCCTGGGGACAGGGTAAGTTCTGCAGCCCTTAGTGGGGGCCGGCCAGGTGGCTGGGGGCCTGGTTGTCCACACCTCCAGACCTCAGATGGGCCCCGTGAGTGATGCTCTGAAGCAGCCGGCACCCTGGCTCTGGCTGTTGCCGCTGTGGTGCAGGCCTTGCTCTGGGCCCCTGTTCTCGCGTGTGCCTGGGCTGACAGTCAGCGATCACGGACACCCACACGAGGTCCCAGGCTGCTGTGGGGGCTGTTCTCGTGTGTGCCTGGGTGAGGGCTGATGAACTGCTCGCTGACACCCACACGCGGTCCCAGGCTGCTGTGAGAGCTGTCGTGGCTTAGGCCAGAGCAAGGAGCAGGAGGGATTTGGAGACGACCTGGTGGCATCTTGGGGGAACTTGCTGGGGAGCCCTAGAGGAAGGGCTGCTTGTGTCTGGGCCTCCCCTGAGGGAGCACTGGGGGGATGCCAGCCAGGCCTCAGACAAGAGGTCCCCAGATCCCCTCTCTCTGCAGGGTCCCATCGGGTTCCGAGGGCCGCCTGGGATCCCAGGAGCACCTGGGAAAGCGGTACGTGTGTCAGTGGACGGTGGGCCCCATGTCTCATGGCCTCTCTCACCCTTTCCCTCTGCTCCTCTCAGATGCCCCCAACCCCACTGGGGTCCCCCTTCTGTGGCTGAGCTGTTCCCTGGACACCCTGGGAGGGCTTGTGGCATGAGTAGGGGGTGCTTACCAATGGAATCCATTCTTCGTGGGACATTTGCCTCCTTTCTGGTTCTGGACGTGGAACGAGAGGTCACCATTGTCCCTGTGGCACCTCCGGCCATCTCTGACCACTCCTGGAGGGCTGTCCCCTGCCCGGGCCTGGAGGGGCCCCCATCCCACTCTCTGACCATCTCCGTGGTGTTAACTCTGTCCCTGTCCCACCTTATTTCCAGGGTGACCGAGGCGAGAGGGGCCCAGAAGGGTTCCGTGGCCCCAAGGGTGACCTCGTAAGTGAGAGGGAACTTGGTTCCCTGGGTCCTTATGTGGAAGAACCCAATTTCCCTCCTGACTCGTGCTGGGGAGGGGGACACACTCGGGAGTGAGACTGTGAGGGGCCACCCTGGGTGGGCCTGGGGGTGCGTCGGGGGGAGCCTGGCCCTGGAGGGCCCCAGCTCTCTCCCTGGCCCCAGCTGTTCTCCCGGAGCCACATGGGAGCTCTGTGGCCCCTGCAGAGCGGCCAGCGGGCCGGGTGGAGGGACCAGGTTCCAGGGCTTGGATCCTGCCCCCAGAGAAACGGCTCTCGGGTTGAGCAAGTGAACATAAGGAAAGTCCAGAGACAGTCAAGCGTTCCAGGAGTGGAACTGAAGTGACCGTCCCCAAACTGGTCAGCCTCCACACCTCCCTCGACCAAGCCCTCGCAGCCGGAGCAGCAGGGAGCCACCGTGCCGTGCTGCAGCATCCATGGATCCAAGCACAGTTTTCTCCGCGCACCCACAGGCCCCAGGGTGGTAGTCGGGGGTGGCCCCTGCCACTGCCCCCCACAGCTCCTTGGTGTCCCCGAGCAGCTGGCCGGGGAACGCGTGAGGCCGTCTGGGAAGAGACTGCCACTGCCTCTGTCACTTGTGTGTCCTCTAGGGCAGACCTGGTCCCAAGGGAATCCCCGGAGTGGCCGGGCCAAGTGGGGAGCCGGTGAGTGCATGTGGCTGCTCCCCCGAGAATGCTCCTCCCCTGGGTGCTGGCTACGTACAGGCAGAGACCGCACTCAGAAGGGCTGGAGCTCAGGGCCCTCTGCTGTGGCCGTCTCGAAATCCGGGTTAACGGCTGAACAGCCCCCCTGCCCTGCACATTTCTCTTTTGCCCAGAGCCTCACGAGTGTGCAGGAGTAGGGGCCTCAGGCTGGGTTTGCCTGCATGGAGGACACGGGAAGTAAGGGTGGGTGGGCAGCACCGCTGGGCAGAGGTGGCCACTCCTGGGGTCCCAGGCACCTGTGCAGGCACCTTCCTTCCTGCTGTGTGCCCACCCTCAGCCCAGACTGGAGCTCCCTTCCAGCCCCTCGTGTTGCCTCTACCCCTGGAGCGGTGCCCTCTCTTGGGACACCCAGCACTTGGCTGTGTTCTGATTCCAAAACCAGTCCAGGGTGGACGAGGCAGGCATGGCCTAAGTCCTGGCTCCCAAGCCTCAGTTTTCCCCCCGTAAAATGGGCCAGAACCGAACTTCCCTTAGGGCACCATGATGTGCCTTGTGGACAAGGCCTCGGGCGTCAGCGCTGCTTCAGCACCACCTCTGCCGCCCACCGCACTCCTCGCCTGTGTGGTCACCGAGGCAGCACTGGTTGCCACAGGCCACCTCGATCATGAAACCAGACAACTGCCAGGGTTTGGGGGCAGACACAGTGTTAGGTTGATGGGGAAGGAGGCTGCCCCCAGGGCGGGACTGTAGAGGAAGGGAGCGTGGGCCGCCTGCCCAACGGGCCTTACGCATCCCTTGTCCCCAGGGCATGCCGGGCAAGGACGGCCAGAATGGTGTGCCAGGACTCGATGGCCAGAAGGTTGGCATGGGGCTTAGGGTGTGATGAGAGGGAGGGGGCTGGAGGGGAGTTCAGCCTTCTGAGGCCTCAGCCTCCCCTTCCCCACCCCAATCTCTGTCCTCACAGGGAGAGGCTGGTCGCAGCGGTGCTCTGGGAGAGAAGGGCCCCAGCGGGCTGCCGGTGAGTGCCTGGTGGGTGGGGCCAGCCTGGAGCGCCACAGCTTCTGCCTGCCCAGGGGTCCCTGTTGCGCTGGGTGGGTTGGTCGCTGTAGGGCTGGCTCCCTGTGAGGGGTTCTGGGGCCTGTGTCCATCAGGGCCTGGCACAACCCCTGGCTCCCAGTGGGTGCTGTGCCCGGTGGGTTGCCTGTGTGTGTGCATATGTGTGCTTATTCATATGTACGTGGGACATGTGTGAACATGTGTATGGCCATCCCTGGATGCCGTGCGGTCATCACCCCCAGGGGCCCGGAGTAGGGGCTCCTGCATCCAAGGCCAGGGAAGCTCTCAAAGCCGCACGTAAGGTCGACAAGGCTGGGAGAAGTCAGCCCTGCCCTTTGGGTGCACTCACTCTGGCCCCTGCACCCTGCCTGTGTGCACATTGCCATGACCGGCAGCCCTGACCTCAAGCTCTCTCCTGGCAGGGCCTCCCTGGACGAGCAGGGTCCAAAGGCGAGAAGGGAGAAAGGGTAAGTGGCTGCAGCTGCTTTCTCTCTGCAAAGGGAGGCAAGGGGACGGGAGGCGAGGGGACGGGAGGCCAGTGACCTGGCCCAGATGCAGGTGTAGGCAGGCACTAACAGCTTTCTTTTCTCTGCAGGGCAGAGCTGGGGAGCTGGGTGAGGCTGGCCCCTCAGGAGAGCCAGGCGTCCCTGTGAGTATCTGCGGCGCCCCAGACCCCACCCCGTCTCGCATGTGTGCAGGCCCCGCCCTCACACCCTCCTTCCCTTCCCTGTAGGGAGATGCTGGCATGCCTGGGGAGCGTGGTGAGGCTGGCCACCGGGGCTCAGCGGTGAGTGCAGGGATGTGGCCCTGGGTCGGGGGTTAGCACTGAGCCGTTGGCACGTGGGCCCAGTTTCTGAGCAGGCCGGGGTGGCATTTGGTTGCCTTGATGAGCCAGGCTCACAAAAGCCGAGGATGCTGGGAGGTGTGGGGCCCCGCCTTCTTGTCCCTCGCCCACTGGGAGATGGTCCCGGGCCAGGCTGGAGCTGCCCTGTTTTCAAGCCCTCTATGCCGAGCCTAGCCTTGTGCCCCTGTAGACTGAGATGACAGCACGAGCCACAGGACCCTGGTTGGGGGAGCCATGGGCATGGGTGCCTGGCCCCGAGTCTGACCTGACAAATTGGGTCCAGGGCATACCTGCGTTCTGAGACCCCCTAAACTGCCCTGGGAGGTAGCCCTGCCTCTGTCCCCAGCAATCCAGCCAGGTGGTTTAGAACTGGCTCCAGTGTCCACCCAGCTCTGGGGGGAGGCCGAGCCAGGCTCCCTGTGACCTCTTGGGGGCTCCTTGAACCCTGAGACATCCACTCACACCTCATCTTTGTCTTCCAGGGGGCCCTCGGCCCACAAGGCCCTCCCGGAGCCCCTGGCATCCAAGGCTTCCAGGTGGGTGAGGTTGGGGCAAGGGCCTAGCACAGGGGGCGGCATACCCAGACGGGTGAGACCCGACAGGGTATGGGCACTGACGAGCCAGGACCTCCTTCCCCAGGGCCGGAAGGGCAGCATGGGAGAACCCGGCCTTCCAGGCCCCCAGGGCCTCCGAGGTGATGTGGGTGACCGGGTAAGTGGCGCTCTCAGCAGGAAGCACCCCTGCGCCCCCATCCCCACCCCCTACCACAGTCTCCCACCCCCTACCACAGTCTCCACCCCTGCCACAGTCCCCCACCCCCTACCACAGTCTCTACCCCCTACCACAGTCTCCACCCCCTACCACAGTCTCCACCCCCAGTCTCCCACCCCTACCACAGCCTCCGCACCTCACAGTCCCCCACCTCTACCACAGTCTCTACCCCCACCACAGTCTCCACCCCTACCACAGCCTCCACCCCTACCACAGTCTCCAATTTCACCACAGTCCCTTCACCCCTACCACAGTCTCCACCCCCTACTACAGCTTCTCCACCCCCTACCACAGTCCCCCACCCCTACCAAAGTCCCCACCCCTACCACAGTCCCCCCACCCCCCTACCACAGTCCCCACCCCTACCACAGTCCCCCCACCCCCTACCACAGTCTTCCACCCCTATCACAGTCCCCCACCCCCTACCACAGTCTCCACCTCAGCACATCCCCCCACCCCTACCAAAGTCCCCCACCCCCTACCACAGTCTCCACCCCCTATCACAGTCCTCAACCCCCTACCACAGTGCCCCAGGACGCAGACAGGGAGAGGCCCTCATAGCTCCCGGTGGCAACTCTGACCGCGGGCAGTGTCTCCCTGCATGGTGGAGGCGGTGGCATCAGGGCCCCAACTGTGGCGCCTTCGGCCCCTCTGACCTTCCATGTGGTGTTCCTTGTGGGTGGACGGCTGCGGGAGCCTGGGCTCTGCCTCCTGCCCTGTGTAGAGGCCTGGCAGGGGACCTGGCGGGCGACCTGCACACAGGCAGTGCTCATTCCTCAGGACTGGCGTGGAGGCTGAGGCTCCGAGAGCCAGGCCGGCTCCTGCCTGCGGTGTCTGCGGAGGCACCATTGACAGAGGATTGCGCTGCTATAAAATGGGTTTGAACACCAAGTCCCAAGTGACTGCAACAGTCACAGTTTCCACCTCGTCAAGACTTTTTCCTGCTGGGCTTGCAGCGGCTGCAGCGTTGGCTTCTTGGGGTCTGGGCAGAAGGGGGACATGGCCTGCCCAGGGCCCCAGCTCACTGGGAGGAGCCTATGGGTCTGGTCTGGGCCCCAGCCACGCTCCACCAGGTCCCTGGGGACCTCGTGTGCCCGCTGTGGCCGCCTCTGCCCAGCAGACAGACCCTTTTTAGACGTGAATCCCGAGAAGCCTCCGGGACACAGCTGCAGATGCCCGTGCCTCCAGGGTGATGGTCATTCCAGGGTGATGGTCATTCCAGGATGATGGCCATTCCAGGGTGATGGCCAGGGCTGTAGACACCACCGCCCCATGGGGAATAGCGGGCTGTTTTTTAGCCTCCAGGCAGGACATTCTAGAGGTGGGGGCCCTGCCAACAACCTCAAGGCCTCCGAGAGATGGCAGGACTGGCACTTGCCCTGCGGGTACTGCGCCTATCCCAGGTGTGGGTGGGGCCTGGTGGCTGAATTTCCCTTTTGCTTTAAACTCACAGGAAAGCCTCCTGCTTTTCTGCCCCTTGGGCAAGTTCTCACTTACACGGCCATGTGAGCACGTGGACGTTTTTTAAAGGGGTTCATAGCAACTCCTGGCCATGTCCTAATTTCACAATCCCAGGGGAAGGTGATTAGATGAGCTTTTGCATCTTTGACTCCACTGTGATGGGATTATCCTGCGATTATGCAAAAATACCCGCACGAATTCACGGGTGTTACAAACAATGCCAAACCTAACGAGACTGCACTACCCACAAGGGGAGACTGGACAGAGCCGTTGGGCCCAGAGGCTGTGAACCTGAGCTTGGTCTATGGGCCTGTGTCTGGGAGCCTGTGTTCACAGAAGCCCTTTGTACAGCACAGATGGGGATGTGGGGCGGTGTTTACCATTCCTGGGCCCAGGGCAGGCTTACTTTAGGGATTCTTGTCATTCCTCTAATCCAGAGCCTTTTCTCCACTCCCAGGGTCCGGGAGGCACTGCAGGCCCTAAGGGAGACCAGGTGAGCTGGGCGCAGGCCGAGGCAAAAGGAATGATGGCAAAGCTGCACAGCTTCTCCCAGACTCTGCCTGCCCTGGCTCTGGCCCTGGCTGTGTTTTCGGGACGCTGAGCCTCCTTTCTCCTCTTGCTGTCTCCGTCGGTCGCCCTTTCTGGCTCCTGCCACTCCTGCTTAGGACAGCGACAACAGCACTGGGCACCCAGCCCCCAGGCATGCCCCAGCGTCCCCCGCTGCCTTCCTGGGTGCAGACAGCTGGCCAAAGTGTCCCTGCATGGCCCTGGGTGCAACAGAAGCTACTTCTGGTGCAGGAGGCACCAGTAGGGACCCTCAAAAGGACAGAGGTGTTTCCTGCTGTCCTTTTGGAGAACGAACAGAGGGAAGGGGCTAGGCTCTGCGTGTGTGTTTTGCAGGCAGATTCGAAATGCATTTCTGCTCTTCCAAGCGCTTCTCTCTCTGGAAAAGTGTCGGGGTGGGTGGGGCTGTGGTCGTGGCTGCCCTGCCCTCCTGCACTGCCTGCTCTGGGTGAGTGGGGCCGTAGTTTTTGTGGCTCTCCTGCAGTGCCTGCTCTCATCACTTCTGGGCACACGGCCTTTCCATGCAGCTGGAGGGCCTGCGGCAATCGAACCCCCACCCTAGGTTCTGCTTGGCCGAAAAGCCTCATTATGCAAACAAATGTCTTCCCTTTTTTGGCCCCGCCTCTGCCTGCAGGTCTCCCAAGGCAGGGTCCTGGGCTGCCTTTGGAGCTGATTAAAAGGCAGTGAGACCCTGGGGCCTGGGCTTTTGGCCTCGACCTCAGGATGAACATTACACCCACGGAGGCTTGAGAGCAGGGAGTTTAAGGCATGAAGTCTCTACTCATGCATGAACAGCTCTTTTAACTTTGGGGTGTATTGTTTTCAGGGCATTGCAGGTTCCGACGGTCTTCCTGGGGATAAAGGAGAACTGGTGAGTACTTAGGTAACCTCACTGTCACCAATAGCTGGGAGTGAGGTCGTCACTGTGGCCGGGGAGCAGTCCTGGGGACAGGGTCAAAATCTGCAGCTCCCCCTGGAAGACCTGCAGCTCTGCTGGGCAGCGTGGGGATGGAGCAGGGTCGGGCAGAGGCCCTGGCCACTGGCCGTCCCTTAGCAAGTGGGCAGTGCCTGGCAGGAAAGCGAGGTGGCTCTGAAGCCTGACCTGACCCGGTCAGACCGGTGGGGCTGCCGCACTCTGCCCCATGGAGCGGCACCTGCCTGAAGCAGTCACAGTGGCGTTTTTGTTTTGTTTTCTTGTTTTTGTTTTTTTGGGGTTTTTTTTTTTGAGACGAAGTTTTGCTCTGTTGCCCAGGCTGGAGCACAGTGGTGAGATCTTGGCTTACTGCAGCCTCTGCCTCCTTGGTTCAAGCGATTTTCCTGCCCCAGCCTCCCGAGTAGCCAGGATTACAGGCCCTCCCACAGCCCACTAATGTTTTATGTTTTCTGGGGGTTTTTGTTTGTTTGTTTGTTTGTTTTGAGACGGAGTCTCGCTCTGCCGCCCAGGCTGGAGTGCAGTGGTTTGATCTCTCACTGCAAGCTCCGCCTCCCAGGTTTACGCCATTCTCCTGCCTCAGCCTCCCGAGTAGCTGGGACTACAGGCGCCCGCCATCACGCCCGGCTAGTTTTTTGTATTTTTTTTAGTAGAGACGGGGTTTCACCGTGTTAGCCAGGATGGTCTCGATCTCCTGACCTCGTGATCCGCCCATCTCGGCCTCCCAAAGTGCTGGGATTACAGGCTTGAGCCACCGCGCCCGGCCTGTTTGTTTTTGAGATGGAGTCTCGCTCTTTTGCCCAGGCTGGAATGCAGTGACGCGATCTCAGCTCACTGCAACCTCCCTAGTTCAAGCGATTCTCCTGCCTCAGCTTCCTGAATAGCTGGGATTACAGGTACCTGCCACCACGCCCGGCTAGTTTTTGTATTTTTAGTAGAGACAGGGTTTCACCATGCTGGCCAGACTGGTCTCGAATTCCCGACCTCAGGCAATCCGCCCACTTTCGCCTTCCAAAGTGCTGAGAATACAGGTGCGAGCCACCGTGCCTGGCCTAATTTTTGTATTTTTAGTAGAGATGGGGTTTCACCATGTCGGCCAGGCTAGTCTCAAACTCCTGACCTCAGGTGATCTATCTGCCTTGACCTCCCAAAGTGCTGGTATTACAGGCGCGAGCCGCCATGCCAGGCCCACAGCTGGTTTTTAACTGAAGAAAACTCCACTTCCACAGGCCTGAAACTCAGGTGAAGCATAAAATTAGGTTCTTGTTTGAGTCCCTTGATGGACAGATTTCTCCTTCTGGAGGTAACAAATGGAGCAGTCATGAGTCCGAGGGAAGGAGGGCCTTTCTGGCTTTCCCGAGGCCAGGGTTTTTAATCTATAATTAAGTCTTTCCTTTGTGATTGGGTGAAATAGAAGCAGCCTAGCCTCAGGGACCCCAGTCTCTGGCAGACCCCCGCAGCCCCATGTAAACTTTTTGTGCCTCTGACCAAAAGACCTTAGTTGTATGTGTTTCATGTCGTGAATTCTTTTTTTAATTTTTTTTTGAGACGGAGTCTTACTCTGTCCCCAGGTTGGAGTGCAGTGGTGGGATCTCAGCTCACTGCAACCTCCGCCTCCTGCGTTCAAGCGATTCTCCTGCCTCAGCCTCCCAAGTAGCTGGGACTACAGGTGCCCGCCACCACGCCCGGCTAATTTTTGTATTTAGTAGAGACAGGGTTTCACCATGGTGGTGGTCAGGCTGGTCTCAAACTCCTGACCTTGTGATCCGCCTGCCTTGGCCTCCCAAAGTGCTGGGATTACAGGCATGAGCCACCGCGCCTGGCCCATTTAGTGAATTCTTAGACAACCCTGACAAATGGACCCTGGAAATCCCAGAAGCTGCCCTACCTGGCTACTGTTGCTTGTGGGGTGAGGGGCAGAGCCCCCGGCAGGCGTTTCGGGAAACCTAAGGCTTTGCTCTCAGCTACTCGCACGGTTGGGCTGTGTGAGGTGACCCCACAGTCGAGCTGTGTGAGGTGACCCCTACCCTCCTGGCCTCAGTGGGGCATGGTGCCTGGGCCCGGTGGGTCCCTCAGATGTGTGGTTAGGCTGTGTCAGTCCGTTTTCTGCTGCTGTAACAAAACACCACAGCTTGGGTAATTTACAAGGAAAAGAGATTCATGTGGCTCCTAGTTCTGGAGGCTGGGAAGCCCCAGACCGAGGGGCACATCCATCGAGGGCCTCCCCACTGCGTCATTCCATGGTAGAAGGCAGAAGGGCTGAGAGGAGGTGCCAGAGCGGGGGAAGGGGCCCAACCCATCCTTTTCATGAGGTGCCCACTGTGGAGACAATGGCGTTAGTCTACTCCAGAAAGCAGAGCTCTCAAACCTAATCACCTCTTAAAAGGCCTCACCTCTGTTTTTTTTTTTTTTGAGACGGAGTCTCGCTCTGTTGCCCAGGCTGGAGTGCAGTGGCCGGATCTCAGCTCACTGCAAGCTCTGCCTCCCGGGTTGATGCCATTCTCCTGCCTCAGCCTCCTGAGTAGCTGGGACTACAGGCGCCCGCCACCTCACCTGGCTAGTTTTTTTGTATTTTTTAGTAGAGACGGGGTTTCACCATGTTAGCCAGGATGGTCTCGATTTCCTGACCTTGTAATCCGCCCGTGTCGGCCTCCCAAAGTGCTGGGATCACCAGCTTGAGCCACTGCGCCCGGCCAAGGCCCCACCTCTTTTTTTTTTTTTTGAGACGGAGTCTCACTCTGTTGCCCAGGCTGGAGTGCAGTGGCCAGATCTCGGCTCACTGCAAGCTCCGCCTCCCGGGTTTACGCCATTCTCCTGCCTCAGCCTCCTGAGTAGCTGGGACTACAGGCGCCCGCCACCTTGCCCGGCTAGATTTTTTGTATTTTTTTAGTAGAGACGGGGTTTTACCATGTTAGCCAGGATGGTCTCGATCTCCTGACCTCGTGTCCACCCATCTCGGCCTCCCAAAGTGCTGGGATTACAGGCTTGAGCCACCGCGCCCGGCCAAGCCCCATCTCTTAACAGCATCGCAGTGGCCCTTCAATTCCAGCACGTGTTTTGGAGGAGACACTCAGCCCAGCCGACTGTGTGTTGACACACCTGCGGCCAGTCATTCCTGAGGACCCGGCTGGAGGGGGTCCCAGGGTTTTAGGGCAGAGAGGTTCAGCCTAGCATTAGGCATGTTAGTAAGAAAAAGGAAGGGAAACGAAGTAAGCGTGTGTAGGAGACAGCACCGCGCAGCTACCAAAGTCACTCTTCCCGGGAAAGTAAGTTTTTAAAAAGCTTCAATCAATCAACACAATCACAGCAATATAAAAAATGTATATAGAAGAACAGAAGGAAGGAGCCACTGTCAATATTTGGATGTAGTCTAATAGCAGGTGTGTGGATGACTTGATTTATTTTATCCTCGACTGGCTACTTCCCACCCACCAGCAATACACCCTTAGTTAAAACGCACAACTCTTCTCTCCTCAGGGTGCCAGCGGCCCGGTCGGACCCAAGGGAGAGGTGAGTGCCTGGCCACTGTTCCGGCGACACAATCCGTGGGTGCCTGCTGGCTTCCTGCCCACTGCTGGGCAACCAGGCGGCCCTGCAGGGCACTGCCCAGACCTGAGGTTGTAAAAAAGCTTGCTCTGGTCAAGGCTGGGCAAGATGACTCCGTGCCGGCCAGGAAAAGAGCGTGTCAGGGTGGCTCTGGGCTCCTGGGCTCGCCCTGACCCGCCTTCCTCTGTTTCTCTGCAGTCTGGCAGTCGAGGGGAGCTGGGCCCTAAAGGCATCCAGGGTCCCAACGGCACCAGCGGCGTTCAGGGTGTCCCCGGGCCCCCCGGTCCTCTGGGCCTCCAGGGCGTCCAGGGTGTTCCTGGCATCACGGGGAAGCCGGGTGTTCCGGTACGTCGCTTTTCCAGCTTTCGCAGGCTTGAGATGGTGTTTTTTCCTGAAGGAAGTTACTTTGCGGGGTGGTGGTGGGAACGCCTTCCAGAGGCTGCCGCCCCCATGCTGACGAATGTGTGCGGTGAATTCCAGGGGAAGGAGGCCAGCGAGCAGCGCATCAGGGAGCTGTGTGGGGGGCTGATCAGCGGTAAGTCAGACACCCGCACGGCTGCAGCAGGGCCCGTCCCCACCTGGGGTTCCCGTGCCTGGGGCTACACACAGCCTTCCCGCCACCACTTTCCAGCCAGACTGAGCCGCTAGCACTCACCCTGCCTCTTAGCCCTTGGGGGTCCACGTCCGCCTTGGCGTCTGCCCGTCCTCTGCACCAGAGGATGGCCCACTCTCTGGCCCCGGATTCAACCAGATGCCCAGCACGCAGCAGACGCCCTAAAGTCTACTGAATGTGATGGGTACAAGAACAGCGGAGTGTGCCCCTGTGGCTGGCAGGGCAGGTCCCCAGACACCGCCGAGGGCACTTCCTTCACCTTCCCACTCTCAGGCTTCTCAGGCTCCAAGGGGTTGGGGGGTCCTCTCTAGTCCGGCCTTCATCACCCCAAAGCAGTTAAACCATTTTCCATCAATCGGAAGGAAAACTTCCTTCTGGAAGGCAGCACTGTGCAGATATTTCATGCTTCACGTAACAATACTTTTGATGATCCTCTCTCAAGTAAACGCCTGCACCCTTGTTTTCCCAAAGAACAAATTGCACAGTTAGCCACGCACCTGAGGAAGCCTTTGGCACCGGGGTCCATTGGCCGGCCCGGTCCAGCTGGCCCCCCTGGACCCCCAGGACCCCCAGGCTCCATTGGTCACCCTGGCGCTCGAGGACCCCCTGGATACCGTGGTCCCACTGGGGAGCTGGGAGACCCCGGGCCTAGAGGTGAGTGGTCGGCCCCACGACACGGTCACCTTGCTGTAAAAATCCCTGAGACTGACTTGTTAGTAGGCGCTGCTTCTGGTGCCTGCCAAGCGCCCTCAGTGGTAATTCCCGGAAGGCAGGGGCCCCTCATATTTTGGGGCCTAGCGCAGTTAACACCTTAGTAATCCTGTGGGAACTGGAACATTTTTAAAATGTGATGCTTTTCTCAAATACCATTAGAACAATATTTGGCAGGGAGAGGTTGATTAAAACTGTGGCGAAGGCCGGGCAGTGGCTCCCGCCTGGAATCCCAGCACTTTCGGAGGCCAAGGTGGGCAGATCACAAGGTCAGGAGTTCCAGACCAGCCTGACCAACATGGTGAAACCCCATCTCTACTAAAAATACAAAAATTAGCCGGGCATGGTGGCACACGCCTGTAATCCCAGCTACTCAGGAGGCTGAGGTAGGAGAATCTCTTGAACCCCGGAGGCAGAGGTTGCAGTGAGCTGAGTTTGCACCATTGCACTCCAGCTTGGGCAACAGAGCGAGACTCCATCTCCATAAAAGAAAAAAAAAGGTGAGGAATGGCCGGGTGTGATGGCTCATGCCTGTAATCCCAGCACTTTGGGAGGCCAAGGCAGGTGGTTTACTGGAAGTCAGGAGTTCAAGGCCAGCCTGGCCAACGTGGTAAAACCCCGTCTCTACTAAAAATACAAAATTAGCCGGATGTGGTGGCATGCACCTGTAATCCCAGCTACTCGGGAGGCTGAGGCAGGAGAATCGCTTGAACCTGGAAGGCGGAGGTTGCAGTGAGCTTAGATCATGCCATTGCATTCTGGCATGGGCAAAAAGAGCGAAACTGTCTCAAAAAAATAAAATGTGAGGAATGAATAAATAAGAGTTGCATTTATATTGACAAGATGCACCTTCATGAAAACTGGCAGCATGTGAAAATTTCTGTTGCAAAAGGCAAACATACGAAATTCAAAGTTCTCTCCATATTAAGGGCTATCAAGAACACAGAAAGCTTTAATTTAGAAACAAGACGAAAATCACTGACATTCGCTGATGAACTGCTGATCCTCCACGCGGCTGAGCTGTGTGCATGGCTGGCAGTATTGACTTGCCAGAAAGGCTTTGAGGTACCCAGGTGTAAACTGGGGAGGTCTGGAGGCATGGAAGACACACAATTGTGTTAACTGTTGGACACGAACCCTTACCAGAATTTTAAAATGTCAAGACGCCTTCCATCTGCAACATCCGGTCAGCTGCCCTTCAGCCCAAGTAAAGGATTTAAAGCTGACGATTCCAGTGGATCCCACCTTCCAGACCAGATAACGTCCTGCTTCCCAAAAATAGCTTAAGAAAAACGTTTCTAAAGGGAACTTAACTCTGCGAGTTTGTCTTCATCTCTGAGACGAAATTGAACTATTTAGCAAGGTGGTCGTGTTCCATAGTTAGAGATATTATTTCACTTATTTTAAAGATACTGAGATTGAAGATTTTCAGCACTTGAGTGTCAAATTCATTTTGTGGTCCATATGTCCAAATTATCAAATAGCTTCCTGTTTTCCTGGAAACTACTTTAAGTTATGACTTTCTCAGGCCATCTAGGCTAGTCTTATGCCACATGAGGGACTGCAATCTTCAAAAAGAGACCACATAAGATTTTCTCCAGGTAGGGACCTAAACTCCTTCAAGACTTTGAAAATAAAATTCAGGCCAGGCGCGGTGGCTCACGCCTGTAATCCCAACACTTTGGGAGGCCGAGGTGGGTGGATCACCTGAGGCCAGGAGTTCGAGACCAGCCTGACCAACATGGTGAAACCCCATCTCTACTAAAAATACAAAAATTAGCTGGACGTGGTGGCGCGTGCCTGTAATCCCAGCTACTCAGGAGGCTGAGGCAGGAGAATCACTTGAACCCAGGAGGTGGAGGTTGCAGTGAGCTGAGATCACACCACTGCACTCCAGCCTGGGCAACAGAGCAAGACTTCGTCTCAAAAGAAAAAAGAAAAGAAAATTCAAAAAGCACATTAATGACCATTACCCGTTCTCAGACAGTGGTGTGGTGGAATTAGTGAGCAGAGACCACACTGACCCGTGTGCCTGACCGTCCTGACCATCCTGACCGTGCTGGCTGGCCTCTGGGACGGCTGCACTTTTGCGCCCTGTGAAGATGAGCACGTCTGCGGCAGGAGCCGCTCCATGGAGAGGTGCTTGGTGCCTCGGGCTGTGGTCAGTGAAGCTGGCACGATGCCCAGAGCTGACCATGGGAACTGAATGTGAATATAAATGCACGCTTGGACCCACTGCAGGTCCTCGCTCGGAAGCCTCTGTTACTGCTGTGCCTCGAGCCCCCTCCCTGGAAAAGGAGCACCAGCAGGACCGCCTTCTGCCCAAGGGCACAGTAGGTCAGCCCGCGGCATCGGGCCAGTCACGCCAGACACACTGGGCACCAGGGGCCACTGAAGCCCGCTGCCCCGCTGGGGAGGCCCACCCGAGTTCCCAGGCCATGGGCACCGCTCCCGCCCGTGGCCGTGCATGATGTGCAGATGGGCAGTGACTGCCTCAACGTTGGCACCGCCAGTCACACCTGTGCTCATCAATTGCAGAAGGTAGCAGGGTTGCAGGATTGAAACAGACACACAAACACCAAGCAAAACAAAGTTGGTGCCGCTGCAACGACCATGAGACAAAACAGACCGGCTCTGTGCTGCTGCCTGCCTTACGGGATCCCTTCGTTGACAGGCTCACTCTACCGGGAGCAAATCCTAGAGTGACCTGTGCGCATCCAGCCTCGTGGCTTCCGGGCACATAAAGCCAGGGTTGACACGGCTGGGCGCGGTGGCTCAGCCTGGAATCCCAGCACTTTGGGAGGCCAAGGCGAGAGGATGTCTTGAGGCCAGAAGTTCAAGACCAGCTGAGGCAATACAGTGAGACCCAATCTCTATAAAATTAGCCGGGCGTGGTGGCACGCCTGTAATCCCAGCTACCCAGGAGGCTGAGGTAGGAGGATCCCTTGAGTCCAGGAGGTTGAGGCTGCAGTGAGCTATGATCACGACACTGCACTCTGGCCTAGGCAACAGAGAGAGATCCTGTCTCAAAAAAAAAATAGATGGTAACACACCCCTCTCCTCACCCAGCAAAACACAGATGTAAGATTTGAATGACGCAATTAGAGGGACGTGAAAATGCCCTTAGATGACCCATGGGTCGAAAATCATTTAAAATAGGATTATAAAATATTAGTAAATAACTGCTTAATAGGCATAAATATTTTGAACAAAACTAAAATCCCATTCAAATTGGCTGCCAGAGGTCCGGGAGGTCGTTCAGCCATGCAGGGCTCAGCAGCAGGCACATGTTCTGACGGCTGTGCCACTGGGCGGTTTCGCTGTGGGAACATCTGAGTTCACTTGCGCAAGCCCGGCCTCCCTCACCCCTGGGCCGTGTGCCAGAGCCTGGGGCTTATGGCTGGAGACCTGCACAGCGTGTTACTGTGCTGGGTCCTGTGGGCGGCTCTAACACAGTGGTGGGTATCTATGTTAAACACATCCAAACACGGGAAAGGTATGGTGAAAATTGGGTATGATAATCTTATGGGACCACCATCGCCTATACGGCAAGTCGTTGACCTGCAGCCGTCCTGCGGCGCAAGACTGTGTACAGGTGGGTCCCTCTTGTCGGACCCCGTCAAGCCCTGTGTGACGTCTGTACTTCGGTAAAAAGTGGGAACCCTGTTTATTACAAAAGTCGATCAGACACCGCTGTGCTGTGGCTGCAACAGATACTCTAACCATGTGTCCGTGTTCACACCTCGTGACAGGAAGCCAGGGTGACAGAGGAGACAAAGGCGTGGCAGGAGCAGGACTGGACGGGCCTGACGGAGACCAGGGGCCCCAAGGTACGAGTGCACGGCCAGCACGGCTTCACTGGGTGGCATCTCCTCCGCCATCTTGTAGCTTTATGTGGGGTGTGCTTGGGTTACGAATGGGTCTCTTTTTCTCTTCTCTTGGCAAAGCAATCTCAGAGGCAAGATTAGGAATTGTCTCAGTAACCACTGTAATACATAAAAGTTTAATCGGGGCTGGCGCGGTGGCTCACACCTGTAATCCCAGCACTTTCGGAGGCTGAGGCAGGCGGATAACCTGAGGTCAGAAGTTTGAGACCAGCCTGGCCAACATAGTGGAACCCCGTCTCTATTAAAAATACAAAAATGAGCCAGGCATGGTGGCAGGCGCCTGTAATCCCAGATACTTGGAAGGCTGAGACAGGAGAATTGCTTGAACCCAGGAGGCGGAGGTTGCAGGTTGCAGTGAGCCAAGATCGCACCACTGCCCTCCAGCCTGGCGACAGAGCGAGACTCCGTCTCAAAAAAAAAAAAAAGTTTAATCAGTAAGCAGATCCTCCTGGATCTATTTTAGCTAAGTCGATTTGGTTAGATTCTGTTTAAGCTATTCAGTATCTATTTCAGTTAAATTCTGACAGAATTTTCTCTTAACTGACCTGTGCATCCATTGAATGTTTCCATTTCTAATGTCAAAAATAAATGCTTTGTCACGGAGGGAGGCGCGCCAGGATCCCTGGCAAAGGCCATCCCCTTCCTGCCCCTGCCTTAGCCTGGTGCCTCCTCAAAACCAGGAGGCCTTAGACTCCAAGGATGTGTGTGCCCAGGTGAGAAGGATCCCGAACGGTCTTCAAGAAGGCACCCGCTCCCACCTTTCCCTGGTTGCCCTGGAGCCCTGTCCTCTCCTCCATGCACTCACACTGCTCTCTGGGTGCCCCATGCTCCTGGGCTCTCTCCTTTGCTGACCTAGCTCTGCCTCTACCTGGTGTCCCAGTGCGCAGGTGTCCTGGGCCCCCAGCCGCATCTCTCCACCTGTGTGGCTTTGAACAGCGTCTGTGTCGCGCTTGCTGATGGACAGCAGCCCCCCAGCTGTGCCATGACCACACCATTCTGCACTTTGTCACCTCATCTCAGTGAATGGCTCTGACACCCCGACTTAGGCGGTTGACTCCCTCTTCCCTCACACTCAGGCCTTCCCCCATGGTTCCACTGTCATCACTCACCAAAGCCACCCCAGGCCCCCTGCCCACTACAAATCCACTCCTCACTCACACAGCCCCCACCAAACCCGAGTAAGTCAGAGTGCGGGTGTCCTCAGGACGGCTCCGCACCCTTGCCTGGGGCTAGCCACGCCTGGCCTTCTCAGGGCACTCCCAACAGCCAGCCCCGCGGAGAGCCTTTGTGCGCCCTGTTCCCTCGGCCTCCCCGACCCGCCACGGCTGATGGAAGAGCAGGGCTTGCTCGCAGCTGGACGTCAAGTACCCCTGCTTTCAGTCCCGGCTGCAGCTGAACTCACCCTTCTGCTCTGTCCCAAGGACCCCAAGGCGTGCCCGGCACCAGCAAGGATGGCCAGGACGGTGCTCCCGGCGAGCCTGGGCCTCCCGGAGATCCTGGGCTTCCAGGTGCCATTGGCGCCCAGGGGACACCGGGGATCTGCGACACCTCAGCCTGCCAAGGAGCCGTGTTAGGAGGGGTCGGGGAAAAATCAGGCTCTAGAAGCTCATAAAATTCAACGTAAGGAAATAACCAAGTGACAAAAATGCCTGAAGCACAGTGGGGCGGTCATGAAGGAGCAGGGGTGTGGCAGGCTGGCGACGTCCAGGAGAGTGAGCGCCCCAGCTGCCCCTCGGCCGCCGACTGGACGCACAGGCCCTGCCAGCGAGCACCCTCATTGGGCTGTCGCCTGACCGCATACCTCAAAAGGCCCTAGCTAATAAGCATGTAAGCCCAGCATTTGAGGGAAGGTAGGGTGTTTGTATAAAACGTTGTGTACAATTCCATAAGATGAAGAATATTCAGTAACTTGTTTACGTAGCATTTGTGTAGAGACTGTGATCTCATCCCAATAAAATGATGTATTAAATCTTCAGATTAATGACTGGCTACAGAGTAACAAAAAATAAAGAATTTAATGTACAGTAAATTCTCTCCCATACAAAGGTGTAGTCTGATGTTTTGTGTACAAACTTGCATCTCCAATTAACAGTATTTATTGAGGGTGACTTTGTATTGCACTAATGTCTATTGCTATTACCTGTTGTGATAAATAAAGCCACTCATTTAAAAACTCAATTCCAAACACCACAGTTTATTACACATAAAGTAATGACTCTCGATATGAAAATGTGGGCATTTAAGCATCTACTGTGACAGTATTTCATTTGTGGACAAAAGTAGCTTTCAAGCAAGTATCTGGAAAATGTTTAGCACAAAGGTTTAAAATGGCCCTGCATGTCGCAGTGCACCACCACGGGACTCGGAATCATTACAAGGGGGTGTGACATAACAAATGAAATAAAATTTCCAAACTGTTTTGAGTTAACAATTTAACGTGTTCCAATTGCTAAAGGGGCGTATTTAAAATGTAAATACAATAAGTAAAAAGCAGTGTACTTTTTAAGATTAAAGAAAGTACAAAGGATGTTAATTTTTTATCATGTTAAGAAAACATGATGGAATCAGGGCATTGAAAAAATGCTTACTAATTATTCAGATGGCTTCATCCCCAAATGGTCTAAGAGGACATTCATGGATAAGTATTTGGTTCTAGATAAATATTTTTACAAAATGTGCTCTCAAAGTCCCTACTGGAGTCCCGTCAGCTTGAGTCACGTCCTTTTCGAGTCAGACGATCTGAGCAGAGTTCCAGGATTGCAGAAAATGTGCACAGATCACGAAGGAATGGCTGTTCACTCCCCGAGGATTCCTGTTCAGTCCAATCACTTGATCTCCATCGAGGGGCTACTCTGTAGACTCTGCTGTGCAGGACAGGCCGCCAAGGAGTCTGGTCTGGTCAGCTTTAGCCTTCGGCCAGTTTTACCGCAAAATACACTCTCAAATTCCTAAAGAAGTGATGGTTAATGTACTGAATTAATAGACATAAAAACTGCTATCTTCCAAAGTGCAAAAGGTTGAAATAAAAAGTTATGTAAATGACTTTAAAATATGCTGTTTTAAGGTGTCATTCACGAACTTGGGTCATACCTCACAATGGGGTTTATGTAATAAACAGATTTGAGCAATTTTTTTCAAATAGCAGTTACACTGTACATATACTTTTATTTAGTTTTTCCAGTACTCAGAATGTCTGGCCACATTGTATTATTGTGGTAAAATATACATGACATGAATGTTCCAACCATTAACAGGCCCTAGCTATCAATCTGTAAACCCAGCATTTGAGAGAAGGTACAGTGTATATATTAAACGTTTCAGGCTGGGTGCGGTGGCTCATGCCTGTAATCCCAGCACTTTGGGAGGCTGAGGTGGGTGGATCACCTGAGGTCAGGAGTTCAAGACCAGACTGACCAACATGGTGAAACCCTGTCTCTACTAAAAATATAAAAATTAGCTGGGCGTGGTGGCAAGCACCTGTCATCCCAGCTACTTGGGAGGTGGAGGTAGAATCTCTTGAGCCTGGGAATTGGAGGTAGCAGTGAGCCGAGATCATGCCGTTACACTCCAGCCTGGGCAACAAGAGTGAAACTCTGTCTCAAAAAAATAAATTTTTAAAAAGTTTCAACCATTAGGCCGGACGCGGTGGCTCATGCCTGTAATCCCAGCACTTTGGGAGGCTGAGGCAGGCAGATCACCTGAGGTTGGGAGTTTGAGGCCAGTCTGACCAGCATGGAGAAACCCTGTCTCTACTAAAAATACAAAATTAGCCGGGTGTGGTGGCACATGCCTGTAATCCCAGCTATTCGGGAGGCTGAGGCAGGAGAATCGCTTGAACCCGGGAGGTGGAGGCTGCGGTGAACCGAGATCGCGCCATTGCCCTCCAGCCTGGGCAACAAGAGTGAAACTCCGTTTCAAAAAAATAAATTTTTAAAAAGTTTCAACCATTAACAAGTCAGGGGCATCTACCCCCATCCCAGGGCGACTCCCTTGCCCTCTGCACTGCCACACACGGAGGGTTCTGAGGCCAGCACGGTGGAGGTGCTGCTTGCTGAGATGGCTCTGTCCTTGGGGAGACCCTGCCAGCAGGGTGGGGGTGGGGTGGGCTTGCTCCTGTCACACCACCTGTCTTTTACAAAAGGCCTCAGTGATGATGGCGGGGTCAGTCTCAACCTCCCAAAGGAGAGACTGAGACGCAGAGAGAGGCACAGGTGACGGCCCGATGACAGGCGCCCACCACCACAGGTACGCCAAGTGCAGAATGTGGAAACATCTACAGGGCAAATCATCCCCTTTCAACAAATGAACGGTGAGGAAGACAGGAAGGGGGAACTATTACGGGATAAGATATATTTAAAAACTGTCAACCAAATGCGATGTCTGGACCCTGATTCAAACGAGCTGACTGTAGAGACACTTGTTGGCTCACGGGAGAGTCTGCCCAGACTCGGGAAGGAGACTCAGAGGTGGGTATTAAGGAATGAAGGCATTCGGGAAGCAGACTGATAGTGCGGTTGTTTTTAAACAGGCCTTTTCTTTCTAAAGATATATTTATGAATGAAATGGTGTTTGGAATTGTTTTAAAATAATTCAGTGGGGTGGGAGGGCGAGGGCACAGGTGAAACAAGCTGATACCTCAAACTGAGTTAGAGGGACCTGGGAGTTCATTATTCTCCCCATTTTTGTGCACATTTGAAAATTTCCGTTGTTTTAAAACATAGCATTCTACACGATTAAATCCAGGTTTACATATTGTTTATTGCGGTATTAAAACATAGAACAAAATTTGCCTTTTAAGCACATGTAAGTGAACAGTGGAGCAGTGTGAAGTCCATTCACAGTGCTGTGCAGCCGCCACCACCACAAACAGCAAACAGCAACTCCGTACCCACTGAATACTGACTCCACACCCACTCCGGCCCCCAGCCCCTGGCACGTACCATTCCGCTTTCTGTCTCTATGAATCTGACGGCTCCAGGTGCCTCGTTGACGGAATTCTGCAGGGTTTGCCCTTTTGTGACTGGCTTACTTCACTTAGCATAATGTCCTCAAGGGCCATCCACGCGGGAGCCTGGGTCAGAATGTCATTCCTTGTCATGGCTCAATAAGGTTCTGTTGTGGGTAAACATCTGTTTACTCATTCATCTGTTGGAGCCCACTTGAGGTGTTTCTGCCTTTTGGCCACTGTGAAAGGTGCTGCTATGAATATTCATAGAAAAGCTTCCATTTGGGTCCCTGTTTCACCTTTTTGGGGTTTATGCTTCTCTGGTGATTCTATGTTTAACCTTCTGAGGAGCTGTCATACCGTTTTCCACAGCGGTGGCACCATTCACACCCCCATCGGCAATGCACGGGGATTCCGATCTCCCCACATCCTTGCCAACACTTGCTATTTTCTGTTTTTTTTTTTTTTTTTTTTAAATAGCCATACTAATATGTGTGAAGTAGTATTTCATTGGGTCTTGATTTGTATTTCCCTAATGACTAACAGCTTGGCGCATCTTTCACGGGCTTACTGGCCATCTGTGTATCTTCTCTGGAGAAATGTCTATTCAGGTGCTTTGCCCATTTTTGAGTTGTCTGTTTTTTGGACAGGGTCTTGCTCTGTCTCTCAGGCTGGAATGCAGTGGCACAACCAAGGCTCACTGCAGGCTCAGCCTCCTGAGTAGCTGGGACTACAGGTGCATGTTACCACATCCAGCTTTTAAAATATGTTTTTTTTTTTTCTTTTTTGAGACTTACCCAGGTGAGAGTGCAATGCCATGATCTCGGCTCACCACAACCTCCACCTCTCCTAGTTCAAGTGATTCTCCTGCCTCAGCCTCCTGAGCAGCTGGGATTACAGGCGCCCGCCACCACACCCGGCTAATTTTTGTTTTTTTAGTAGAGACGGGGTTTCACCATGTTGGCCATTCTGGTCTCGAACTCCTGACCTCAGGTGATCCACCCGCCTCAGCCTCCCAAAGTGCTGGGATTACAGGCGGGAGCCATGGTGCCCAGCCTGTGTAGTCTCTTTGCTGCTGAGTTGTGGTAAGTTTGTACTGAATTCAAGTCCAGAGGACGTAAGAGCCATGCTGCCAAGGATTTAACTTCCAAATCGTCTGGAGTGGCTGTAACATTCCACCCATCCACTTTTAAGCAACTTCCCAACCAAGCAAGCTGCCATTTCCAGCTACTGCGTACACTCAGAATCTACGACTGTGTATAAATATACCCATTTCTTCCCAATTTTTTTTTTTTTTGAGATGGAGTCTCGCTCTTGTCACCCAGACTGGGGTGCAATGGCACAATCTCGGCTCACTGCAACCTTTGCCTCCTGGGTTCAAGTGATTCTCACACCTCAGCCTCCTGAGTAGCTGGGATTACAGGCATGCACCACCATGCCTGGCTAATTTTTATATTTTTAGTAGAGACAGGGTTTCAACATGTTGACCAGGCTGGTCTTGAACTCCTGACCTCAGGTGATCCACCCACCTCGGCCTCCCAAAATGCTGGGATTACAGGTGTGAGCTACCACACCTGGCTTCTTCCCAAATTTTAAAAGGTTTTAGGATGCAATTTAAGATGACCCCACATTTTGATAATTTCCTACATTCTGATACCTAAAGCCTACATATGAAAAACACTGGCAGGGTGCGGTGGCTCACACCTGTAATCCCAGCACTTTGGGAGGCCAAGGCAGGTGGATCACGAGGTCAAGAGATTGAGACCATTCTGGTTAACACGGTGAAACCCTGTCTCTACTAAAAATACAAAAAATTAGCCGGGTGTGGTGGCGGGCGCCTGTAGTCCCAGCTACTCGGGAGGCTGAGGCAGGAGAATGGCGTGAACCCAGGAGGTGGAGCTGGCAGTCAGCTGAGATTGCGCCACCGCACTCTAACCTGGGCGACAGAACAACACTCCATCTCAAAAAAAAAAAAAAAAAAAAAAATTGCCTGTATTTGGTAAGACAGAATTCACCTTTTAGAATAATTAAATGGAAGTCAGAGCCCAGGCCGGCTCCACCAAAGTTGGACCCTCGGAGATGGTCTCAGACTGCCAGGGCGTCATCCCTTCAGCGAACCCCGCGGACCATGGCAGCGTTTCGCGACGAGGTGGAAATCGAGGACTTCCAATATGACGAGGACTCGGAGACGTATTTCTGTCCCTGCCCATGTGGAGATAACTTCGCCATCACCAAAGAAGATCTGGAGAACGGGGCAGGCGTGGCAATGTGTCCTAGCTGCTCTCTCCTTACAAAAGTGACTTATGACAAAGATCAGTCTGCGTGCGGAGAAACGGTCCCAGCCCCTTCAGTCAACAAAGAATTAAGTGCTGAAGAAGCCTTCAGGAATCCGAATCCTGAACAGCTGGAAATGAGCCCAGATAGAAATTTCAAACGCAAAGCTTCTGGCTTCATGGAGACAACCACTTGTGATCCGCGGTTCTGTAGGAGTGTCGCGGATTCTTTCCATCAACTCTGCTGATTTCATCTGCAGGAAGCAAGTCCGTAACATGACGTATCTGGATTTTGTGCTTAGAACCTTAGGTTTGGAATCATTCTTAATTATCCATCTAAATTTAAAAGAAGATAATTTCAAAAAAAAAGAAAGGAAGAAGAAAATAATCATTCTCAGACATAACCAGGCACTGGCGAGATCTTCTCAGCTATTTTCACACAGTGATGAGGCTAGCTAGCCCCAGCGTCTGCCTTCACTGTGGACAGTCGGGCAGAGGCAGGGTTAAGCTGTGGTTCCATCTGGACCCTTGCAGGGCCCGCCCACAACCCGTCTCCTGGGAGTTGGGGCAGCTGTGAAAGAGGAACAGATCCCTTTAGTCCCCTCAACCGAGCCCAGGCCAAAGACATGGCACTGATGTCACCGCACTCTCAGTCAGCATCTATTTGCAACAGAACATATGTGAAATAGTCAAGTTTTAAAGGAATTTTTATAACATCAAAACATACTGA